TTAAACAGAAAACTATTCATAAGTTTTTCCTCCAAAAACCTTTTATTTAAAAAATCCAATTTAAATAAGAAATCCATTTTGTATTTTTTTTAAAAAATCCTTGATTTTTATCCACCCTGGTATAGTCCCCTTAGTGAAGAAGCTGCATGCTGGACAAAGAACAGCTCCTGACAACAGCTGAGTTGCTGTATTCTGTGCTAGCTCCAGCTTCCAGGCTAGCACAGAGCTCATTACAGTGATCCATTCTTGAGGCTACAAGTCCCTGTAACAGTGTGTCCAAGCTCTCCCTGTTCAGGAGAGGCTGTAACCAGCTGATGGCCCTCCCTGACCTAGGAGGCCAGCCCAGAGACTCTCCCATCCCATTCCTGGTGCCCAGGTTTCAGTACCTTAAGCCATCACCCTCACCCTGAGATTGAACGTAGAGCAGTGTGTCTCACTGCTTAAGTTGGTCCAGTTGTCCTCCTCTCCTGTATTTCTATCGATCTTCTTTGCTCTGACTGCTATAGTTATGAGAACATTAATAACGTGGCAAAATACATTTTTGTTAGGCTTTTATTGAATGTCACCCACAGTTAATGGCAGAAAAAATATCATTCATGTAACAAAAATAATTGTACTAGAAAGACACACAAAACTCGTGTGCAACAACAGCATTCCCGATTGCCCTTTGAAAGGTCTTTTCAGGCTTTGTAAGTAATAAATGAAATAAAATGTACAGTATACATCTGAAGCAGCAAGCAATGTGTGCAGATGTGATATTCCAGATGACTTTGCTCCATTTTTGAAAGAGAATGAAACACTGATTGTTAGGAGTCGTGGCATAAGGCAGACTATAGAAAAGGAATAGAATTGTCTGTTTAGTCTGTCTACAAAACATTTGTTAACAACATGGCCGGTGCTGCACAGTTTATCAGGAAAGCTGTAAACAATAGTATAGCTTATTCCTATCTCCCAACTGCCAATTCTATTAATTCTATTAGGGTTCTCCAAGCAAATTCTAGTTGTAACTTCCATACTTGATTTTTGTTTTCTCCACCATGTCGAAAGCTAAGATGATTAATGCCTGAGACAGTTTCTAAAGTAGCAAAATGGAAATTTCCTTTTGAAAGTTCTTTTTGCCATGAACACATATAGATCCATAAAATGAAAGTATGTAATTATTATACACATCATCATTAGTTTTTAATAAGGCATATTAACTCTTTAGGCAACTATACACATTTAATAGTTATTTAATTTTGCAAACTTATTTGTGTAAAGACCAAAATGGACTTAAGCCTCTTATATTATAAAAACACACTAGCATTTTTCCTCCTCTTCCAACCATTCTTTACAATCTCTGAACTGCCAATCCATGTGGCAATCTATTTCAATTTTTATTTCAGCTTTATAATAGTATACTGAATGTTTAAGGACTACATGTAAAATTTTCCGAATACTTGCAGGAAAAAGCCTACCTAAAGTCAGGCATCAAACTAGATCTGTCACTGGTAATGCTGAAACCATTTCAATCAAGGAAGATGTATGCATGTTGTGAGGTGGCCAATATTAAGAACCAAAGAAACACCCAAGGGTGGGGTCGCTGAACATTCCTTCCCACTTATTTCTCTCCAGTTCCATTCCTTAAGCACTTTTACCCTAGCAGAGGTCATTTTTTTTATTGGAGAGTGGCTGAAAAGGGAGAGAAGCTGCACTGACATAAGCTATGCTCAACCCTTTTGCTGTTACAAATCAGATATTCCTTTCCCTCCAGACAATTGGGACAATTCTGTACTCCATGTGGAATTTTCATTTTTGTGCCTAGTTTGGATCAGCCTTTAGCATGCAAGCTAAAGTGCACTAACTTATGTTCCTCTGAAATTAATTAGAATTTCTTCCAGTTCATATGGCCAAAAAGCAATTTCCTGGTGAAAGAAAAACTCCCCTATTTACTCAGGTGCAATATTCATATAATTCTCTCTAAGACAGCTACCTTGAACAGTTTCATGTGGCGTACCATTTGGTCATAAAAGCTGGTTCTAATTTATCAATTCAACATTGTGATTCAGTAGTTTTCTGGATACAGAAACACAGAAATGCCTACACAGAAATAAGCTGCATTAAGTTCCATGGAACTTCCTCCAAGGTAAGTATAGGATTTTAGCCTCAATTTGGATTTAATCAAATGCTCTATTAGATTTATATGCCACCTTTTTCTTTTTTGTAGAACTCAAAGAGGTTTCTATCAGTCTCCTCCTACTGCTCTCAATCTTATCCCCACAACAACAACAACAACAACCCTGTGAGGTAGGTTGGGATGAGAGTCTGTGACTGGTCCAAAGTCACCCAGTTGGCTCCATGCCCAAGTGGAGACTAGAACCCAGACTGGCTGAGTCCCAGTCCCTTGCTCATAACCACTACACCACACTGGCTTTCAAAATGCCGAGAAATGTTTTCCCAAAAGACTGGGTTAGCCTGATATATTTTCACCCACTTTTAAAATAAAGATAAATGTTTCAAGCTGAGCTTTTTAAGAAGCCCACAGGAAAACTGGATATGTAACTACTTGATGAGCAACTCATGAATATGACAGAAGATGGTTAGGAATGTCAAAACCAAGTTTTTACAGTAGAATTTACCCTCTGTTAATGAAAACAGGCCATCTTCGTGATTAGATGGAATTCACTGACACAATTACACGTACTAAATGAAGTAATAGTGCAAGTGTCCATTATCAAGATCTTTTAAATTAATCACAGAATCAAAGAACCAATAAGAACACATTAAATATAAAGTTTAAAAAGGCGATACACACCACAATATTGCTGCAGAGTAGCATTACTTTTTTTTTACTACATGCTTCTGCCATTAGCATGTCCTCTGATAAACCTCAAACTATTTGCATTTGCTCTGGAGATAAGTATTACCCACAGTGCTAAAATAGTTAAAGCACACAGTAAAATTATTATTAGACACACAGATTGAAATAGGCAGTGAGATTTGCATTGTCACAACCCCATATGTTAAGTCATAGTTTACTAGTTCCTTTTGCAATAGAAAGGGATAGCCTTGCCTGATCTGGCTTTTGCTGATTAGGTGCACTGAGATAACCACACAGCTGAATTCAGGCTGCTGAGTTCCAGATGCTTTCACTAAACCCTAATCTAAAGTACCTAAAAACACATTGGCTTGAACCCAGGGAAGAAATCTCTTATAATAACCTGCTAAAGAGCAGTTCTCTTCCTGCAGGTTACCTAGGGCTGATGTACAAATTGACATTATGTGTAAGGGGATGTAAATGGTTTTCAAACTTCGTAGTTTCTTTTGTAAGCATCAGGTTTTTCTGTTGCATAGCTCAACTCACCCATGTTCCTTCTCAGCACCAAGTCAAGTGGGACTTACAATAAAGGGGTGATGTGAGAGTCTCAGTATATAATAACAACCCATGGAACAATTCAAGAACTGCCTTATTACTGTTTCTGCTATTATTATTATTATTAAAAATAATTCTAGACCTTGAGAAAACTTGAGGGTTTGTTACATGGTCAGGTCAGACTGTTGCATAGCATGAGTAGCTTTGCACAAAATGTTAGCCTTAGGGGTTAGTATCCAATTGTGCCTAGTGTAAGTATAAACCAGCTCTTGCACAACATTCCTGTCATTTGTTACAGCAACAGGGAAGGGGGGGAAAGAGGCAGAAAACTGCCTTTTCCTTTTGCTCTAGTGAGTATCAGCTGCACTGTGCAGGTATCAGTTTATGCCAATGCAATGTCATTAACACTAGTGCTGGGACACAGCTAAATGCTATCCAGTGTGTTAAACTAGAGCTTCTAGAGCAAAAATAAAGGGGACAGCATCCTTGAGAAATTGATGTTCCTGGAATGTGCTGTGATGGTCAGAAAACCTCAAACTGACAGCTGGGACCAAAAGTTCAGAGTTGGATTAGTCACGAAGAAGCATCTGCCACAACCATATTGGGAGTGGGAGCTTGGGCAGCCCACTCTGAAGAACAAGCAGGACATATCAGGAAGGCGTGCAAAATCTGTCTGTGTGGCATTAGCAACTTCGTATAAAGAAAACTTGCATAAAATGTTTTATAGATGGTTATCTGTTGCCAAATAGATTAGCTAAGATGTTTCCAAATATGTCAAATAGATGTTGGAAATGTAAACATAAATTGGGTACTTTTTATCATATGTGGTAGACTTGTGATAATGTGAAAAAGTATTGGATTAAAATACATAAATGGCTCGAGGAAATGTTACAAAAATCCTTAGCTTTTAAACCTGAAGTTTTTTTTTATTAGGCATTATACTGGAGGACATAGTAAACAAGAAATGTATTTGATTTTACATGTAATCACTGCGGCGAGGATTGCATTCGCTCAACACTGGAAAAGTGAAGAACTACCCACCGATGAACTGATTCTGAAAAAGATCCTGGACTGTGCAGAAATGGATAGATTGACTATCATTGAAGGAGAAGGAAGATACTGACTTCGATCAAACTTTGGTACTCTTTTTATTATTGACTAGCGAAATGGGACTTCGCATAGATTCAAATATGTTTTTTAACTTATCATAAATGTAAAAAGAAGGGTGTGGGGGCTGACCCAGCAGGCTCAATGTTTTTGATGGTGGATGTTGTTTGTAGTTTTCTTTTGGTTTTTTTAGGATTATAATTTTTTTTAATAAAACTTATTTAAAAAAATCTTTCTGTGTGGCTAAAATCTTATTTCCCCATGGTTGTCCTCTGATGCCACTTTCCCTTTACCTGGGCTCAGAGAAGGGACTTGGGAAAGGACTTACAGAATGGTAAATGGCAGTCTTGGGGAAGATTCCACTGTTTTTCCTCTTCTAAACAGATAATACTTTCTATTTGGTTATGGCAGCTCTAGGTTTAAACATATTTAATTTGGCCTTCAGCTCCTTATACTTGCTCAAATATGCATATATGGGAGTTCTTCCACCACCTTTGAATAAAACCTTGCTGCATGCAAGACATTTGAGTTTGAATCTTGGTACAGTATAATTACACTTTTTAATGTTTCTAGCAATTACATATATGGCATGATTCTCAAATGGACACCCATGAACACTATTGCAAGTTTCTGGAAAGTACAGGCACAGGCCGTTTCTAAAAGCAGGACTTTTTTGACTATAGGACACAAATGATTACTTGCGTTCAGGGAAAAAGCTAGCAGTTGCAGCAAGACAATGAACCACTTTTATAAGTCATAGAGAACCTCAAGAATGACAGCAATTGACCAGGCCTGGGTTTCACAGCTGAAAGGGCAATACTGACCATTTTCGTTAGTCAGTTCTGGAAGTCCCTTCCAAGGGGATCTGCAAACAAACAGATTATTATTATTATTATTATTATTATTATTATTATTATTATTATTATTATATTTCTATGCCGCCCCTTGCCGAAGCCTTGGGGCGGCTTACAACACAATAAAATACATTGAAATACAATAGAACATAATAATTGTTAATATAGCAATATCAGACTAATGGGACATGTTTATTTCTTAACTTGCAAGCATGCATCTCATACAAGGGAATATCCCACATGGATGCGAGTGTCTAAGGGTATGCCAAGAAGATCTGGGTGGAGGTACAGATGTTTCGCCATGGCACTGGGTTTCAAAACACACAGGCTCCCAAATGCACAGAACAGTCCATGTAAAGTTACTGAGTATACAGCAAAAATGGAGATGGAAAATAATGCTCTCTCAGTGCCCATCTGATGCAGTAGGTTTGGGCACCTGTTTTCTGGTTTTCATTGAGAGGTCTGAGACCCATAAGGAATTTCCGATTGCAATCAATTAATTTTTGGAGGTGGAAAAGGAAATGTGGTCCAAGTCTCACCCCCCAGCATTTTTTCTCTTGCTTCATTAAGGATTGGATGCTCCTTCTCAGATTTAATTCAGGGCAATTCTGTGTCAGGGACAATGTACTATCAGGGTGGCAAACAGAAAATACAGAAACAATGCCTCTCCCATACAACTGTGAATGAGCATCTGGACTGCTTTTTGATGCAGACATTTTGTACCATCTTTCTCTCTATCCTCATTCCTGGAAGCAGGAGCTGCTTATCTTTCTAGTATGCACAGACAAATTGCAATTTCCTGCTTCTGCATGCAGATTGCTGCTGATGGATCAGAATGATAAGTTGCTGCAATGTAAAAGCATTTAGGATTGATGTATAAACTTTTTACAAAAATTAAGTTTGCTTTGGTCTCATCCTCATCTATCATATAAAACTAAGAATCATAATTCCATTTCATGGGTTTTGTGAATACTAGTGGTAACGTTCACCCTGTTACCCTGTTGAAGTGCCTATTAATCTTCCTTTTCTACCTACCCCTCTTCCATGTTTGCTACACATATAAATATTTTATTTATTTATTTGAAAAACTTAAATATTCACACTGAGACCATTTTATATTGAACTGAATATCAAACAGTAATACTATTTCAGGTTGTCAAAATGAAAAGTACCTCTCAAGATGAACATAATGTCGAGAAAGAACGTTCTTAATCAGAAACATGGTCTTTGCATATATTTCTGGCCCAATTAACTTGGAGAAGTACAATTTGGCACGGAGGAAATATCCAATGGGCCAAAGCCATTCCTTAAAAAAAAAAAGCAAGTAAACCAGAATTACAAACTTAATTTTTTGATCAGGAACAATTAAATTATTGCTGAAAACTGCTAAAGTGCAAATCTTACAGGCCCTTGATGGTAATTAAATCCTTTAGCCACATTGTAGTTATCATTGTCTAAGGCATTGTCGTACACACCACAGTAAACCATATCACTGTAACAAAAGGGAAAAAATACAGACAGTAAGGCAATAAAGATCTTTTAGAAAGAAATTATTTTAGATCAGCATAATTTTATTCAGCACTTTTTCAACATCTCTTAAACCTATTTATTATTTCTAAGCAGTGTTCTGTGGTTGTGAGATTCCCTTCTCAGGGATGTTTGGCCTGCTCTCTTTCTTCCAACTGGTTTTCAAATAATAAGTTAGGTTTTCCTTTGTTTTTTATTTTCAAAAGTTTGGGAGGTTATCATTAAAACTCATTTTAGCTGCTGGCCTTCTGAGGAGAGTTTACTGCTGGTTTTTATGGACGTTAAGTCCATCTGTTTTTTTAAAAGTTACTGAAGTTTACTTTTAGTTTTTTCCCTGATTACTCTGTCAACACCTACTTCAGCTATGACTTCCAAAGGATGTGAATGGTGTGAATGCCATAGCTCACAGTAGTCCGGCCATCTTTCTCCAATTTTATGGGGCATTTTAAAATGTGTATTATCAGCCATGGATTCCTGATGCCCATAAATCTCAGAACTCACCCTGATGTATAAAGCTAGGGAGGTCTACTTTTCAAGACACCAGACCAGATAGGAAAGAAGAACCTGACACGTATTGATACTGGGGAGACCTTTTCTCAGATTCAACCGGAAGCCAGTTTTCTTGTTTGTGTAATCAACTATGCAGCAGTTGGAGAAGCACAGCCAACACCTGAATCTCTGACCAGCGATAAGCCAATCCTAATTTCTGATGGGATTCATATCACACAAAATGCTTCAGCCCATGGGACCATTTCACTTGGATGTTGCAATGTATTTATTTTTCCAACCAAGTGTGTTCCAGTGTTGGTTACAGTATAAAAGCGGATGGGGATTTAGGAGCTGAACGGAGAGGGGAATCTGGAAAAGTAGATGCTATTTACAGCCTAACAAGTTGAGAAGTTTTGAACAAATTCAGCGTGACTAAGGATTGTCTTTGTATTAACTAGCTCTCTATCATACTTACTCTGGGTCTAAAGTTTTCATGCCAAGTGGACCAAGTAGTTTTTGCTCTAACATTTCAAGTGCTTTCCAAGCACGTTCAGGTGAGAACATTTCAGGTGCCTACACACACACACACACACACACACAGAGCGAGAGAGAGAGAGAGAGAGAGAGAGAGAGAGAGAGAGAGAGAGAGCGCTTAACAAAATAACTCGAATGCAATATTCCTACTGGTCATATTTTAATCCCCCACCCATATGTCCATAATGTAATCTAAAATGTCATTTTAAAATAAGAGCTTAAATTATTAGAGAATAATCCTGTGCATGTTTAGAAAGAAAGAAATAGTTCTACAAATCCCAACATTTTCCAGCTTTGCTGCTGCAGCCCTTTCTTATTTTGGCTGGTCAGAGTGGGTAGTTCAACTTAAGGAAATGCAAAGCATTTTTAGAGATTAGAGACTTTATCACCAAGTTACTGCACAACGGCCACTAACACTGTTGTGGATGGCAGAAGCCATTACAACAGCTCAGCTGAGACACCCCAGGCATGTGGTTTTTATGGGGAGCTGTTGTGTTAGGACTTGTACAAGTTTTCTTAATAGCTGGGCAGCAGAGGGACTTTGCTGTCTCTAGACCTCAGATAATCCAGAGATGGAATCACAGTACCACAGCATCCTACAGTACTGCATAGCACAGCACAATTATCCTAAGAATTTAGGACAGCCTGTAACAAAGACAGGAAAAAGAGTCTCTAATGTGTTTATTCCTTAGCAATATTAACTGGTAGTCCTATTGTGATGCTCATAAGCCCCTGAACTTGGAGACTTATGGGCATCCCACATAGAGCGGAAGGCAACAGAGATTATCTTCACTTCCTGTTCCTCCCATCCTGCATCCTGTTGCTAGATGGGCTTTTTGCCTGCTTAGCTGGGGTTGCTCAAAGAGAGAGGGACGGAAGCTGGGGTGACTTCAGGATACCTTATATCCTTGCCTCTCCAGTTTCCTCCTATTTCCAACCACTGGAATGTTCCCTTCCCTTCTTAAAGGTTGCTTTCCTGACCTTGAAGAACAGCCATCACAGTTCTTTCCATGCCAGCTGAGAGTGTGTACATTCATGTATGACATTAATTTGATTCCCAGTTTTGAGGTTGGATTGCGGTCTTTGACCTCAGGTCTGGGGACCTGAAATATTTGGTGCCCCTCAGACAGTGTCCAGAAGCTCTCTAAACACTTATATCAACTAAGAACAACCGGTTAAGAAATATAAATACATGCTAAGGGTTTTGAGAGGGTTCAGAAGTAAGATTCAATGTTCTTCCCCTCCTAAATAATATCCAACCCATCATCAAAGATATAATTGAAACAGTTTGTAAAGCATCTGCAAAAGAAAATAAACAATGTAATGCAAGCTTATTTTAAAGCCAAATAAAATATGTATAGAATAATTTGTAAAATACATCTAGACAACACATACCACAACCATTGCTATTGGGAAATTTGGCCTTAGCTGATAGTCACACCAGGGGCTTGACGCCCCATAGCTATCCTTGTAGATGCCCCGCTTATGAACCAACGTTGGATGCTTCTCATTGGGATCTCCTGGGTTCTCAGAGACAAAGAATAGCTTTTCAAAGTTTGCTTGGATTTTTCTGTCCCACTGCTCATATGTAATGTTCTCTTCTTTCCCTGGAAAACAGTATAACATAATAGATTGATACTAGTGTATGACACAAAACCAAAAGACACATATATGTACAGTGTGGCAATGCTGTGATTATTTTGCAGTGGTGCAAATCTTCTTTCAGTCAGAGGACCAAATTCCATTTCAAAGAAACTTTTCTAGGGCTGGGCTGAACGCAAAGGAACAGCCATGAAATAACAGCCTACTGTAGCTCAACACTCTTACTGCCAGTAGCTAAGCCTTGAGTTTAGAATAAGGACAGATATGCATAGCAATGTAGCAGTGTCTTCTGTCCTTCATTTCTCCTGCACCACCACTGCAAGCCTGCAAACAGTGATCCATTAAAGCAGGGGTGCAGAACCTGCTCAGTTCCCCAATCCAGGTCTCAGGACCATGGTCCTCTGCAGAAATCCCCACTTTTATCTCAGATCTCAGATCAAAGATAAGAGCAGGGATACGGGAGCAGGGGACACACTGGTGCTGGCAACAGTGGGGGCCCATGAAGATGCTACAAAGCAAAGGATTCTGCTGCCACTGGCAGGAGAAAGCTGCTTCTTCCAGTGACATCCAGTCTGTCTTTGCTATTCTTTCTCTTAGCATGGACAAAGGCTAAAATAGGCAGGAAAATGACATGACTGAGAGGGGCTATACCTACTAACATCATACAGCTTGCTGAGGGCCTAGTGGGAGACAATCTAGCTCCCCTCCTTTATATAGGCCTGCATCCATGTGGTAAAGTGAATGGGTGACTCTTTTGCTCTATAAACTGCAGGCCTCCCACTGCCCCCCCCCCCATCTTGGTCAGGCTCATAGCATAGATTAATGCCCCTTAACCTTCATTTTAGGATTCTAATCTAGATTGGGTGTCCTGCACTTACTCTAGAGTAAAAGAGAGAGAGAGCGCGCAAGCATGATGAAGCCTTGAATGCAGTGCCAAGGAAACTTCTCCCAGTGTTGGTTTTACAATTTCCTCTGTGGATACAAACACAGCCTATGTCTGAGGCCTGCTCTACATACGCACCAGTATGGAGGTAGATGGGGCTGTGCCATTTCAGGCTACACATTAGATTCTTGAATATTTTGTGCAAGTAGAATGCTAGAATATCATAAAGAAGGATTAGAACCTCTTTTCTGGATATGCTAGTATCTGAGTTCTGCTGTGCTTTGACTTGTAAGAATGTTCCACTTATAAACCCAAGGGGGTATGAAAAAATGCCGCTGAATCCTTTCCAGTTTGTCCACATCTTTCTTAAACTGTGGTGCCCAAAACTGGATACAGTGCTAAAGATGAGGCCTAGTCAGTGCTGAGAAGCGATACTTCTGTTAATGCAGCCAAAGTAGTATTTGCCTTATTTGTAGCTACATTAAATTATTAACTCACATTCATCTTGGGATCTACAGTGATCCCAAGATCCTGCATTGTGTAATACCTGTGCATTTGGTTTCCTCTTGCTAGGACAGAATTTGGCATTTCATTCTGTTGTTTTCAGCTCAGTGCTCCTACCTATCAAGATCACTTTGAATTTTGTTTGTCTTCTAGGGTATTAGCTCTCCCACCCTGTTTTATGTCATCCATGCATTTGATAAGCAGTCCCAGCACATCCACATCATTAACAACAATGCAGACAAGTACGCAGGATTGGGTCCAGGACTGAACCCTATGGTGTCCCACTCTCACCAGTTTGAGTTCAGCAAGGGGTGTTTGGGACCACAGCTGTCTCTCAACTTAAGCTTCATGACTCAGAAGGAATTCCAATACAGCCCTCTTCCCCACATTCAGTTGTATATACTATCGTAATTCTCTACTGGATTACTCAAAGTAAAAACAATATTACCTGCACCAGACTTTCCCAGCAAGATACCCTCCAGATTTTAACTCCTATCTTCTCCAGCACTGACTGGTGATGACAGAAACTTAGTCTAACATTTAGTCTAAAGGACACCAGGAAGGAAGGCTCCTGTTGTCATCTAATGTCTTCTTATAAATTGAAAAAGTAAACAGGCCACAGATGGGAGAAGAGACATTATAGCTAGCTCTAAATATAAATCTGTAGGTCAAGAAATTTAAGCTTACTTCAAGCACTCAAGTTACAGTAGAAGATGAAATTGCACTTGAGAAACAGGCTATTCTAGCATAGCCAGAATAATATATTCAGGATAAAAGCCAAGAACATTAAACAGAAAAAAAGAAACAAAATTATGTTTCAGAAGAAAGGAAAATTACATCAGAAAAAAAAGTCCTTGCATATTTTGCATTACAAATGTAACACAGAGGAGATCTTGACCTGGTATTATTTTTAAAAGAAATTAGAGATCAACAGTAATTTGTTAATTTTTTGAAAATTAAAAAAGATGAAAATGGGATTAGATTCATATCATAATTTTTATGATGCAGATGTTTGAAATTAAAAACAAGAAGAAATTCATCCCATGTAACAGTGGGGAAAACGGTCCCTTAAGCTGAAAACTTTGAAAACCACTACCATAAAATATAATGTAATGGTTCACAAAATTATTATGTTTAGTTTACCTTACAATGGTTTAATAAGGACTGTAAACATTTGGAAGTCCTATACCAATGTTAAGTATGAATATTTTTAGTAATACATTTTCCCTGCTCCTATTGTACATTGGAGGTAGAACTACTTACCATGCGCTTTCACAGTAACTCCAGAATAAGGAAATAGGTTCTTCCTGGACAGCTCCAGTAACCAGTGAACTGTTGATTTGCACAAACCAACGATTTCCACAGCAGAACCATCTCTAAAGGAAGACCACACTGGCTTAAAACAGGACTCCAGAGATAGCTGCACTTAACATAAGCTAAGCATCCTTTCCATAATATATTCAAAGTCAAGTCTAAGGATGCTCAACTAAGATCACTCCAAGAATCACTTTGATATATTTCAACTAAGGCTGCATTCTCAGAGAGCTTTTTTTAACATTTATGAAAGGACTGGATTCTAGACCTTGGAGAACCCCTGCCACTCAGAAGAGACTCCAGTTGGCTGGAACAATCAACAGCCTGACATGACATAGAATGGTTCCCTACATTCTTGATGATGTAGAGACCTGAATGAAAGGATAGTAATGGATTTGTGCAATTTTAAATATACATTTATATATATTTGCCATTTGCACTTCAGATTAAATAATAGTTTAACATCATGCACACAATCTGGAAAGAACCTGAATACTTCTCCCTCCCCTTCCTGTGCAGCTGGCTAAGGGCTTTTGACAATGTTTGTTTTTAGTTTCTGTTAATTGCATGTGAGAACAGACTCCTGGCTTGTAACAACTGTAGCCAGTTTCAAAATAAGCCTACTTCAAACCATCAGAGATGGAGCTGGCTTGTTAAAACTAACCAGGGTTTGTTATAGACCACAGTTCTGGGTTGATAGGCAACCTCTAATAAGCCAAAGTTATAGAGGAAACTGAAAGAAAACATTACCAAAGTCTTCTGCCCAGCTGCAAAAGCAGGAACAGGAGCACATGAACTCAAGACATACGTGTGGTCATTGCAGCTGTGCAAAACCGTGATGCCTTCATGATTTAGCACAGGTTAGAGAACAGGACTGAATTCAAGTCAAGACTGAAGAGATCGAGAATACTGTAAAACTTTTACGCTGTACCTTGGTGTTGCTGGAATTCCCTTGTTCCGACCCCGATCACTCTCTCCCATTTTGTCCATCCACGTACCACAATTAAAACGATTTCCTCCATAAACAAAGCCAGTTTCCATGTCCACACCTGCAGTCACATTAAAACCTACACACCGCAAAAGGCAGATTACTTTCCAATAAACCACACGAATCACACTTAGAGGTAACACCCAAGGTAACACTATCAAAACTAATTACTACTTCCAGTTCATCAGAGTTAACAATTTATAAAGGACTACTTTGAATAAGTATGAGAACTTAAATATTGGGGTATAAAAAATTAAATGTAGTGAGCTGACAAAAAGTTCTAATCAAGTGCAAAAAATAGATTGCAAAAGTAATATTTAAGGTGGTTTGAAGGATGAATCACTTCATTTCTATTTTCACTGGCAACTCTGAAAATAAACACAAGAGCAGCTCTGAAAGTTCAGAGCCTTAAAAAAACCCTGTCAGAAGATTACATACCTTCATCTCTCATATTTCGATCTATCTGTGGGCCAGCATTCCTTTCTCGAAACTGTATGCCTTGCATATGTCTCTGCAGGGCTTCCTGTATCACTTCATATAGTGGCTGATCCTGAGTTATGGTAGTTTGGATTAAGGAGATGAAAAGGATAGAAAGTAAAAACAATACACAACCAAAGCATTGATTAGTTCAGGATTGTCATAATATTTTATGAGGTGCTTAAAACATTCTCCCTTCTAAAACATAACCAAAAGTATCTAAATCATGTCATATGATCAGTTACAAAACTATTGTAAATAGCTAGACATTTGTTTCATGACTATGGAGACGGTCCCATTTATCATGTTTAAACAAATGTTAGTTTCCATCATCAATAACAAATAGGCATACTATTCAGACAAAGAGATTACCGAACACAAAACAAGTGGGTAGTCAGTGGGGTGGTGCTGCATTTTCATTACTTTTAATGTTTGTATACCTGTGTTATTTTGGAATCCCACCCTTTCAGCAAGGAGCTCAAGCTGAATATAAGATCATAGGCAGTCTCCTTTTGGACACAGGCTGGAGTCAGGGCAGGACTTTGGGGAGGAAGTCCAAGACCCTTTAGCCCCAGGGGCCTGCAGATGCCATCCAGAGAATGATGGAGCTTACTGGAGCAGATGATATGTACCTACAGCATCCCTTCTTTCTTTCTATTTTAAAAATATTTTATAGTCATAAGGTGGCAAGCTAGCCACGTAAATCGTTACAGGTGCTTATTTTATTACAGTACTTTTACAACATGTTATCCTTTCCCCCAACAAAATGGTGCATTTTCACAACGAAATGGGTTTACCATCAGGGCAGCAGAAGCACACTCAATGTTATTCCCATAGTTATGATGGTACTAAAACGTAAGTGAATTTGAAATGCAAACCTGCACATGCTCAAAGTATTTCTTTTTAAAATCAGGGCAAGGAAATGGTTTGATTTCCTCTTTTATGTTCTAATGTATCAGGAATGCAGAAAACACTGTAAAGCATGGCATGTGGGTGGCTGGAGAAGCGAGATATTAGTTGTGTGCTTCCTAACTGAAGTAACCCATGGCCAAGCCAAGTCTCTCCCGCTCCATGTCCTTAAGGCCTTTCAGTGCAGAAGCTAAAATTACCTAGCTGCACCACTGCAAGCTAGGCCAAGATCTGCTTAGCTGATCAGATGCACTGCATGATCAGATGCACTACCTTCAGACTGTTCCTCGTGCCCCAAATAGCACCAGACACTGTCTTTTATCAGAGACCATTTTATTTACTTGATATTTTAAATTTTAAATATTTTAATTATGTTTTTATCCTCAGTCATGTGTTATTATGTTGTATTTGTTAGGTGTTTTACATTGTTAGCCATCCAGAGATGAACTGTAATGGACGGGTCAGAAATACTCAAACAAACAAACAAATAAATCAGTAAATCAATACATACATACATACTACAAATGAGGGTGGGACTGTTTAAGCTTCTTGCCAAAAAATCACCTGGCACCTGAATGTATCTATATGTTCCACAGGCCTATAACAGGAGGATTTCTGCCCAAGTGAAGCTTGTCCATGGCTCAACCAAGCAAGCAAGAGGGTAAAGCTGCAAGTTTATTTACACATTTAAAGCATTTCTACCCCATTCTTGAGAGCCAAAAATGCTCTCAAGTGCAGTGCAAAATATCCATAATAAAATAACCCCTGCTCTTGGGCTTATAGTCTACCACAAGCTGCAAGAGAAGGCAAGTTCTAATTACCTTTATGCCTGCTGGCTGAGGAGGGGAATCATCTGTAGGGTACATTCTAGATACAGGATACTTGAGAATGTCAGTGCCATTGGGAACAATTTTGCAGTAATCTTGGATACACTGAAGCCACCACCACACAGCATCACGGCAATTGAATCTGGCATGAGTCCCCTGGCCAAGCAAGTTGGGAATGAGGCCATGTCTTAGTGTACCAGCAAATGCTAAAATTATATTTCTGAAACCAAGAGATGGAGAAAGGAAGTTAACATCAAATGGCAGATTTCCAAGTTAACATTTATTCACATTTGATATGTTCCAGAAAACATAAACAGGCAAACAGCAACAAGAATACCAAAGGTAGTCAGAATGCAAGGGAGAAAGGGGAATTTTCTTTTACGCTGAGGATTTATTATTCTTTAGCACAGCAGAGTCTACTTGTTAACAATATACAGTTGGGCAATACCTTCATTAGGGGAAAGCAAAGTTCTACAAAGCTGTACAAGCTTTCCACAATTTCTCTTGGACCAAATTTAAAAAATATTAACAGTCCATCTATTTTGATATGTACGTATCACAAAACATACAATAAAGATAATGCTTTAAAGATACAGCTCAGATAAAGCTTTAAACATCCACACAATTTAGGAACAATTTTTAGTTCAGGTTCCCCAAGCCTATGCCTTTGAAATTAACAACTTGCTGTATGCAGCAGAAATCATGCACGTATTTATCTTTTAAGCCTCATTTGGAAACTATTAAGAAAAAAGTAAGCACAAACAGGTGTACGTGAGGCAAATCACACCATGGGAACAGTTTTTCCAAAGTGCTTCAAAATATCTATTTTTATTTCATGCTGCAACCTTATATGAATGGCTACGTCAGGATGTGCCTATGCATCTTACCTTGCTTCCAAGTAACGCCCAGTAACTAACATCAGTCCTCTTAGTGCAATGAATGTGTCCCTTCCCCAGCAGCGGAAAATACCGGCTGAAAAATGAGGTAGACCTAAACCGTGCAAGAAAAAGTAAATATAACTTTGGAATTCAGTGGCGCTCTGCTATCTGAAAATGGTCTTGCCCACATTTGTGGCTGGGTCCTGCTCCCCTCCCTATCAAGAACTTATTTCGAGCCCTACTGGAATGCATGTTGTTATGCTGCAACGAATCAACAAAATAAAAGTGGTGACCTGCCATGCCCTCTGTCTGTCTGCATCATTAACATGGACCTTTAACCCTTCTGCTTGTTGAGACTTACCCTGAAACACCTGTCTGCACATGAGAAACCATAAATGTGTCACAGTGGGCTTTACACATATTACTGGACTGCTTCCAACCCTCTGTATCTGATATCTGACTGTAACACTGACGCAAGTTCAGCACTGCATGGTGTGTTACCAACCCATTCAGTGTATCTCTGAGTGGCAATTCCTGTATCCCTGCTTGACCATTGCAACAGTAAACTGGAAATTAAGGCTTGGACTCCAGTACCTTCAAAATTACTATCTGTCAGCGCAGCCCACAATTCTTGCCACCTGCAGTATCTAGCGCAAACAGGTGGAGGATAAGGATTGGATGGAATTTCCAATGTTTCTTGACAGAGAGGCAGGACACATGGAAATGCCCCGAATGTAGGTTTGGCTCATTTCAAACCTTCCATGTGTATGCCATCTATAGACTCCCAGGAGGGGCACCACATGTACTGACCTTTTGCTCTCTCAAGAGCACTTCAATTGCTGCTGGAATATTAAATATATGTGTTAAGTGTTGGTAAAGCAACACTTGGGGACCTAAAAGCATGTGAAGTTTTGCTCAAGTTTGATTTTCTGCACAAGAAGCTCATACCATACTTGAAGAAATGATGGCATTTGGTTATTATAATAATAGATGTTACCAGCATTATTTTAAGTTCTATGCCTCCCAAGAGCTGCAGTCAAGGGACCACCAATGAGAAGGCCCTCCAAGCCTCCCTTGGAATTGGCACTCAAAGGAAGGCCCCAGAGGTTGCTTATGTTGCCTTGGTAGAGGGTGGTTGGGAGAGGCTTCATAGGTTAAAACCAGCACCCTGAAGGGGGCTCAGGAGCGTACAGGCAGTTAATGTGAGCAGGCCAGAAATGTTATCTTCTTATTTCTTGCCTTGTGCATGTGTGCAGCTTGGGAGTGCTCCTTGACCCAGAGCTGTCACTGGAATCCCAGGTGGAGGTGGTGGCAAGGAGCGCTTTCCTACAGCTTCGGCTGATCCACCAGCTGTGCCTTTATCTGGACAAGCACTGCCTAGCAACGGTGATTCATGCTCTGGTAACCTCCCAGTTGGATTACTGTAATGCGCTCTATGTGGGGCTACCCTTGAAGACGGTTCAGATACTTCAGCTGGTACAGAACAGAGCTGTTGCTGACGGGGACCGGTCGTTATTCTCATATAACACCAGTTCTCTACCAGCTACAGTGGCTTCCAGTTGAAGTCTGGGCCCAATTCAAGGTGCTGGTTTTAACCTATAAAGCCCTGAATGGCTTGGGACCAGGATACCTGAAGGAGCGCCTCTTCCCTTACATGCCCTCACACCCCTTAAGATCTGCGGGAGAGGCTTTGCTCTGAGAGCCCTCTTTAAAGGAGATATAAAGAACAACTACCCAAAGTAGGGCCATCTCTGCAGTGGCGCCCAGATTTTGGAATGTGCTCCCTGGAGAGGTGCGTCTGGCACCGAGTTTATATTCTTTTTGGCGCCAGGTTAAAACCTTTTTAATTGTTATTTTAAAAATTAATTATTTTTATCATTAACAGTTGCTTTTTTGTTTTTTATATAATTTTATGGAATTTGTATTGTTTTATTGTTTTTAATTGTACATTTGTGAGCTGTCCTGAGAGGCCGAGGCATGTGGTGACAGCATGGTAAAAGTTTTAAATCAATCAATCAATCAATCAATCAATCTCAGGACCATAACAGAAGGATATCTGTGCAAAGATTAAACAAGTTAAACTATTTACTGTAGACAGGTAGATAATTCAGTTGAAAATGAGTGCCTTACAAAACATAGTTTACCCAGCTGTGAAACCATGCAAAACTTTTTGCATTATATAGTCAGATGAGAGCCAAAGGGAGCCTGGAAAGCAGGTATGAGAGAACTCCCATAGAATGGGAAAGAGAATCTGAGCCAAGGGTACAGTTTATTCAAAAGCTACAAAGCAGTCATACAGGACTGGTAACCTGCAGGTCAAAGTATCTGGAAGGTCAGAATTCTCATGAGGAATTACTGCCAGTAGGCAATAATGAGGAAGACCAAAGCACCTGGAATTCATAAGTCCCCCATCCCTGCACACTGCACAACCTGCAGAATCCAGAAACCCATGAAAGAGAGCTAGTGAACAAAAGGGCCAAAAATCTGACCAAGCAGATAACTCAAGACAGTGCTCCTGTAGCATACATGTGTTTGAGATAAATGTTCAATAAATCAAATCCCAAAATTACTACATGCCAAAAATTTAGTTTAGAAAATGCCTCAGCTGTTGTTCTTGGTGGTATTCTTCACTTCTACACGAGGAATAGGTACAGTAAGTACAGGGCACCCAGAATCTCTTTCTAGGTTGGCATGGTCTTTCCTACTCAAGCACCGGTGACTAAGTTGTTAGTGCTCATCTCCCTCCCACAAGCCTTCCTGGTTTTCTAAGCCTTCTGAAAACATCAGCTCGCCTGCTTGTACTGCATAGGACAGAATCAAAATATTCAGGTTCATGATATTCCTACTCATCTTTAAGACAGCCTATTTCAAGAACCCACAGAGTGAATGTCCACTTACCAGCTGCTAAAGAAACACAGCACTGTTCTCTCTCTTTTGTAATTTCATTCAGCCTATAGGGAACGTCTTGTAAGGAAGAAGACAGAGGTGGTAAAGCAGGATATTTTCCTATCCCACACATCTGAACTGAACCCAAGGAGAGATGTTTAACAAATGTGGATCCATTCTGAACAAAGCTGTAATTAAAGCAACATTATTTCAAGGCCAAGAACTTGCTCCTCTTTCCAGAGTTCAAGGTAAATTTAATGCTCAGTGGGGATTTTAACTGTATTGGTTGTTGAAATCTGTGAAGAGTTTTGGATCGTCTGCTATTTGAGAATACATGAAAATGAGGCATGCTAAGTGTACTGGATGGAGTCATCAGCTGGGCTGGAGAAGAGTGCCGGTAACGGTCTTTGAGTCTGCGTTTACAAGGGCCAACGTCTATCCATTCCTAAAATACTGATAGATCCATGTTCAGTTTCCCAGAAGAGCTCATGCACCACCCGTAATAAATGCAGTGAAAACATACCTAGACATCTGTTTCCAAGCCAGGTCAAGAAGTGTGGTATATGCACCAACTAATATGGCATCAAAATAACATGGAATGAGATAACGAGGAATCCGCTTCAAGTATATAAACATTGCTTTCAGCCACTTGCCAACCTAATATTTCAAGGAAAGAAATTGCCACACTGAATTTAAAACATGTAATTTTTAAAAATCCTTGAAAATCACCATGCAATTTATAAAGGTCTATCTAAAAGGGACATGTTCTTTTTGCATTAACTTACTTCAGCACAGGCTCCAGCACGGGAAATTAAACGATCGCTCACATAATCTATCATCCAGTCTCCAGATCTCAAGTTTCCACAGAAAGGATGGCCCAAATCATTCTTTGGTCGTATATCTCCCATCACTGACATTATTCCTGAAAGCCCATAGAAACATGGTTCTGTATTACAGGTCATGAAACTATCATGGAGAGTGGATTAAGAACCCAAGAATAAAAACAAAGGAACAGCTATGAAAGAAATTATTTTCTGAAAATATAAGACACTCCAATCAAGATGGGCTTGATTAATGGGCTTAGAAAAATTAAGATGCATATGTTTTTTAAAAAAGCGACACTCTTCTGCCCTCAGCCCTCATGCTACTCCCAGTCCTGAAGAAGTAGAGCAACAGTGGGTAACCAAGCAAGGAACATGTATTACGTTCTTGTCAACTGCTCTTAAGGTTCAGCTTTGAAAATACTCTGTGAAATGGGGCCAGCAACTGGACTAGGAAAATCTGTCAGTTTCTGTTTCTCAGAGTTTTTCTTTTTTCCAAACCATTTCTGCATCATGCATTTTTTAAAAGTCCACACAGACTAAAAGTCCACATTTTTTAAAAGTCCACATGGATTTTTGAACACATATCTCCCAATAAGCACATCTCTGTAGTCACTTTTGCCCAGTATACACATTTTTGCAAATGGTTTGTCATCATAGAATGCTTTCTGTTTATTAATTTCAATACTGTATTTTTGTACACACTTTCTTCTAATATGCACATTTTTGTCTAGAAAACTGGGTCACAAATTCCAGAGAAAGATGAAATGCCTAAGGCAACAGTGCTCCAGTTTCTTTATTAATTTGGGAAATGTACAATCTGAACAGAATTCCCTCCCATCTCTAATTCCAACATAATAGCAAAAGTGAAGCCCTGGTTTAGATTTCTGTCTGACTCATAATTTATACAGTGCTATTAAGCAAGTTTTCAAATTACAGTTTGAAGCTGGTTTACAAACCATAGTTTGTGATGTGGTGATGTCTGAATCTACAAATTACTCAGAAACCAAAGTTAGGATCAGGGAATGAAAACAAAAAAGCGGCTTTAAAACATTGTTTGCCTTTCTGTATGCCTGTACATCAAGAAGTTCATTCTGAACAGTGCAGCTGTTTAATTAAAGCTAGCATAATCCATGGTTTGTTGCAATGTCTGAACTGAGCCTGTAGCACTGACCTTTCAGGTTCTTAAAAAGATATTCCCAATTTCACCACCAGGGGCCTACAATCTTGTACAAAAATTGTACCCACGAGCAGCTGTACCTCCTTGTTCCCCATGTGCCAAGCCTTCTTGCCATTCCCCAAGGAGAAGGCCAAGGAAAAGGGAGATGCATGCATGGTTAAGCACCACTGCCTGAAGGCACACACAGCACCTTTATGGAGCAGCATCCTTGTCTCCTCCCTGCTGTTTTCCTGCTCTAAAGGATCTGGCAAGACCATCTGTGATTAAGGATCTTCAGGCACCTTGGCCAAACAGATCCCAAAGAATCTCCATTCTTTCTCTCAGTTTAGAGTCTTCAGGGATCCTGAAAGTTCAAGTTCTCAGATGATCCCATTTTCTGAAAAAGGCTTGGCACTCACCCTACCTGAGTCAGGGTGATACACCACAATTGCAAGGGCAAATGGATTGCTGAAGTCTGTATTTCACCACCTTCCTCTATCCAGAAATCTGATACTAATTCTCAGAAAGGAAAGAGCAACATAAAAGCAGGATGTTATCACCCCCACAATATGGCTTGTGGGGCATATTTGGATCACAGAACAAAGGCAAAATTTTAATTTGTGTTTGGAGAATTTAGATCAGGAATAAGGATAGCCCAATCTGTTGATCAGAAACATGTAAACCCCTATATTTTTTTTTTTACCTTGAAGGCCTGCATATTTAAGTGATGTCCAGGTTGGTATGTTATAACATCCTCCACCATCTTCCTGTTCCTCTGCATCACACCGATATAACACGTGATTTAGGTCCGCCAAGGTTAATTTTGATGCAATGCTGAGAAAAGTCAGAAAGTGCATTAAAAAGTTTTTGTTAAATTCATTTTCAGGATGAAATCTATTTTTAAATACAAAAGGTACACCATATAAAATCTATGTTGTACAACAGATGGGCCACAGTTAACAAAAGATTATCCTCCTACACATGAGAAAATAATGTGATACTTCTGCAATGTTTTCTTAGGGCCAAGCTTTATGTTAGATTTCCACTTGTTTCTGTGTATATATTTTTAAACAAAACAACTCTTGAGGAGTGTTCCCTTGCCAATCTTGTTCTGACACAAATCTGGGATTATGGGGTAAAATACAGATAGAATTAAAATCCAAATGCAATTTCTAGAATAGCTTTATTAAGATAAAGTGCAGTTCAGTTCAATCCATTCACACCGGTTCACTCAGATACGAGTGTTACACATGTTGGAGCAATAAAGTCTGGTGACCAGTCAAGTCATTCAAAAGCAGGAGGCATCCCATATCTTTGCAAGATGTGCAAAAACACATCTGCTGACGATGTGTCCTGGCTGTACATTCACTGAGCTTATCTTACTCCTAAAAAAACAACAACAAGCAAACCTTCTTTTTGATGCTAAGATACTACCCTTACCTCAGAGGTCTTAAGTACTACTTCACCTTCTGGCACTCATAAGACATTTGCCTCGTGGCTCAAGACTTATCTTTCTTCATTGTTTCCATCTTCCAAACTCTGCTGATTATATCCATCTTGTTCTTCATGTTCTCTGGTCAGCTTTGCAAGTGTACACACCTGGTGTTTAGCTTTCTCCCCTTCTGGTCACTTTCTACGTTCTGTTTCCCAACACCTTCCTACTCAAACTTCAGGAACCTTTTCAGCCCCCGGGGTGGGGAGGGGAGGGATTTTATGATTTTCTGTAAATGGCGAATTGTGGCAGGGCTGGAGGAAAGGTTACACCTTGCCTCCTGCACTGTGTCCCCTGTGTATATAACCCCCAATTGTTATTTGCTCCCGAATGGGGAACAGGTTCTTGGCACCACTTTCAGACTTGGGAGAGTTAAGCGGGGGGGGGGGGGGGGGGATTTTAACTGAGGCTGAAGGATTGTATTTACCCTTGACCCATGCAATGATTCTAGTTTGAATTAGAGCCTCCCACAAACAGAAGAATCCAAGAACTCACCACCTCAGCCTAATTCCAGGTTTCAATTTCAGTTCTTCAGTTTTTAAAAACCATGTTAACACAGTTTGAGATGCTGCTGCTGCTAGCTTTTACTCTGGTTTTATTCTGTTTCAAAAACATTTTAGGCCTTTAGGTTACACTTCATTGTGGTTTTGCATTTTAGGGTTGAAGCATTTGCTCAGCAGACTGTCTCGACAGCAAACTATTAGGCAGCAGAAATGTAACAACTAAAGGAGTTTTACCCAAAACTCTCCACTGTACTTACGTGGAAAAGGGTTTTCTGAGTATAGCTTCAGAACCATCATCAGGAAGGCTTCCAGATTTAAAGTGAGGACTGAACTGGATCAGATGATTACGAAGTACTCCTACAGCATCTTGAGCCTTTGGGTCAAGGCTAACTCTGCAAATATTAGCATGGAACAAACATTATTAATCTGGAAATCTCCAACAAAAAACCTGGAGACCAAATGGCGTAGGCAGGGCAAACAGGGACCAGGGGACAGGTGTGGGGAGACATTAGTTGGCACACAGACCTGGAAAGGTTAAATAACTGGCCACAACCTGTATTGGTTAAAGCTACATAGACTTCGGTGGGGGCACACTGCAGAGTCACAGTTTCAGTTATCAGGCAGTGTGCATGCTTCTGACAACTGTGGTCCAGGGCTTCTACAGGGTATCTAAGGTGGGCAGATGCAGAAGCTGGTCTTGCAGAGTCTTCCTAGCCCTGGATGCATCAGTCAGCTTGTTATCCCCAGAGCTCTGGTACAGAAGCCAGAAGCCTGGCCAGAATTGCTCCAGCCCAACGGTGGACTGGAGCAAGAAGATTCTCACTCTGGTCTGTCCCAAAGCCACCCACCCGATTTGCCAGCCAACATTCTGACTAGTTCCCTGAGAACAGGTCCTAGCCTGCTGCCATAGGCTGAAGTAGCAGCTGCTGCTCCCACCTGCCACTTTCCTGCCTGCCATGCAAATTGGGGCTGCTGCAGAGGCTGTGAACTCTCATTTATTACGCTGAATAAATCAGTCACCAAATAGTTTGCACAACAGAAGGTATCATGTTTTACCTAAATATAATCACACTTCCTGGTGTTAGCTTTTCAAATTCTATCTCTTGAACAAATTCATTAGGGCCTTTTGTAGCAATCGAAGCTTGCTTTATGATTCTACTTTCATTGAGCTGTCAAGAAAAGAAAAACAGCTGAATTCTGTAAACTGCTTTACTGTGATGGCTACATTTTCAGGGAAATCAAATGAATGGGGAAAAACCCCCAAAGCTACCTGGATGTGTTCTCTGAGCTCAACTGTATAGTCAGGCAATCCATTGATTGAGTGCTCATCTTTATTATAAGGGCCAGCATTTCTCTCAACAGTTCTAGCCTCAAGGACCACCTCTTCAATTTTGCCTAAAGAGAATGTAAGACAAAAGACAGCTCTTGCATATAGCTAGCAAAACATCCATTGCTATGATTAGTAGAGGAGAGAGAAAATGTGTTAGCCAGCCATGCCACATGCTAGCCATACTAATTTGAACTGTCCATTAGCCGCACTACAGAACTTCATTTTAATTTAAAAAATAAAGTTTGACAGTGAGAAGATCATATATACCCTGTGTCAAATCCCTGAGGTTTTTATTGCTAAAACTCCAGGACAAGGACATATCTAAGGCAAAAGAATGAAGGCGAACATATATCCTTCCAGCATGTATTCTGTGCCCAAATGTATATTTTAAAAGGACGCAAAGTCTTTCTTACCATGGAAGGATATTGCTGCAAGGATATCATGACCAGCCTTAAGACAAGGAATATTAATTTAATCATGATTAGTTTTATTTCTATACTACCCAATAGCCAAAACTCTCTGGGCAGTACATAATAAATACAGTGTAAATACAATTAAAGTCAACGTAACTGAGAAATAAGAGCAAAACCTTCATAAAAATTACACTAGGAATTTTAAAACCAAATTTAACAACTTAGACTACTACCTAATAACTATTTTACTTAAACAAGAAATATAATTACTGGCTTAGCACATGGACTTGCTCTGTATCATGGAGATGGGAACTACTGTAACTCTCAAAGGGTGTTCGGCAGGCCAGTGCGACTAATACCCAAGATCTAACTGGTTGCACTACATATTAGATATTTGTGGCCGCTACAATAAACCAAATATCAATGCCTGTCAGCATGAACAGGGTCTGGTAATACCTTCTCCTTTGATGCACCCTATAGTGTGTGTGCGTGTGCATGCACAGCCTCACATTCTTTCCTGAACAAAGGCTCACTTACCGCAGGGATTCCAGGACAAAAATGGCATCCCTCTTACGAAGACTGCATCATTCCATTTCAGCAGTGGTGATGCCTTAGAGCTCTGCTATGTGGTGGAATGAGGCAGTTACCTCAGGTGGCAAAAACTGGGGGCAATAACAGGATGCTGGAGCTGTGGGTCATTTGGCCTTTTCAGCAGCCCCTAGACTAGCCCGCTGCCTTCATATGCAGCCAAAGATGCTGCCCCCTAGCTATTGTATTACAGTACGCTTCAACTGCCAGTCCACCTGGGCTCTGTACCTGGAATGGGAGGGGACACCATCTTGTTCTTTGCTTCAGGCAGCAAAGAATCTTTGCCCAGCCCTGAGTTCTGCTCATGCTTCAACCCTGTCCCTCAATCAGCATTTGAGTTCTGTCCATGGAGTGGGATGCCATCAATTTTATGGCATAAAGTACAGGGGTATATTGAGGAACACGGTAACACAGCAGAGTTAAACCTGATCCACTGTGGCTGATGCTGCCTATTGCATGGGGAGATGAGAAGAGGAGGGGAAGAAGAAGAAATATGTTGAGATACAGTGTGCTGTAGTGGTTCAGACTAGGACCAGGAACTCCAGGTTCAAATCCTGAGTGAGCCGTGGTTGATCTTGGGCCAGTTGCGATCTCTCAGGAATGTAGAGAAAGACAGCAATGGTAAGAAGACTCCTAACAGGCGTCCCTTTTTTGGCAGAAAGATGAGATATCTACTTAATGAACATTATCATCAACATGAAAGCTGTTCAATATTGATAATGTTACCTGGAATACACATCTGAGGAACTTCTTGGCTATAGAAGGATGTTTTGGGATTTCTGAAGGCTGTTCGGGAAACAGCTACAACAGACTGATGTGTGTTAGGACAGTGCCTTGTTACAGCCACAATATCCTCATCAACTTGATCTACGAATACCTAAAATTATTTTTAAAAAACCCGAGATTATTCATCGTACATGATTAATTACCATGTCAAAAATCATTTGCGTCCTAAGGCAAATGTTCAGAAATCCTGTACTCCTTTAATTAGTATCACATAGAGAGGGCGGGATGTTCAAATTATAGGAGTACCCCAAAGTCATCTGAATTTGAGTACAGGTAGGCTAAGTCACATTGCAAGTACCATACAATTTTCTAGGTTTATAAATACATTTAACATCTGTTCCCTTTAACCAAGAACCAAAACAAGATTAATTAAGACTAAGACATGAGCAAAGGACAACACAATGCCTTTGGTTGAAGAATTTACACAGCTTCCTCAGTTTCCACCCAGTTGTCCACTCATTATCATGATCACTGCCTCTTTTTGCTGCCCTCTGGAAATGACCCAGTTCTTGCCTGATTAAAACCTTTAGCTCCAAGCTCTTGATGCAGTCTATTTATAGCCAGCCTTCCTGCTATAATTCCAGTTTTGAAGTTAACACCCCCAGGAGTTGAAGGCGTTGCTGCTGGTTGCCACTTGGGATAGAATCGCTCTTCAGAGACCACAGAAATCTGCAAACAAATGGAAAAGGAGCAATTTGTCATTGTTCCATGCTCAAAAAAATTCAAAGGTTTCTTCTTACACTGTGGTATCCGTTTTCCAATATTGCAGAAGTAATATTTATTTAAAACATTCATATATTGCTTTATCAATGATTAAAAGCAGTTTACAAATAAGTCAAACTACACATGCATTCAAAACACCCGGCAAATAGCAGTACAATTAAAAACCAGAGAGTTAAAGATAAATTAAGATGGTATGTTTTTAAATGCCTGGATGAACATAATGATTTTGCCTGTGATGCAGTACAGGGGGTGCCTGACATATGTTCCTGGGGAGGACACTCCACAGCTGAGATGTTGCTCTGATGGAAGTGGTATCTGGAGAAGGGCCACTGGCCAACAACCTTATGAGGTGGGCATGTGAAGATGCACTCCCTCAAATTCCTGGACCAGCCAGAAGTGAACAGGCCATCACTGAATCATCCACTTTTAAGCGGATGTGATATGATATGAGGCAGTCAAAAGTGGCTGCTGCAATTTTTACTAACTGAAGTTTGTCAACCATTTTGGGTGGTTCCTTGTAACGTACTGTGGGAAGTCTTATGAATGTAAGAAGAGCCATGCTGGATCAGTCGAAAGACTGATAGCCTGGAATTCTGTTCTCACAAGTGCAAACCAGAAATAAGCACATCTGCAGCCTGGCCCCTCCCTGTTATGCTCTCCGCCAGCAGGGTTATAAAAAGGCACACTGGAAGGAATGTATAGAGCCACCATGACCAACAGCCATTGATAACACTGTCTTCCAGATTATCCCTGCCAACATGTTTGAGATACATATTGCTAAAACACATACCTGATGTGGGACTAATTCATCGTATCCTCTAGTGCTTCCTGTAGCACAGCAGGCCATGGAAACAATGGTTGAGCTGGGAAGGGCATCATAGGCAGATCGATGCTAGCAGCAAGAAAGGAGGGGCAGGAAACACAGTCAAATCCAAGGCCCAGTGTTCCATATGCATTAAAAACGGGATTTGCATGCTGTTGTAGCAAGTGGACTAATGAAATCACGCGGGTCCCCACCTACACCCTGGACACAGAGGTTGCAATCCTGTCTGCTGTGAGCATCTGCTCTAAGTGTACGTAGAACAAGGCTTGTGTGAACTGATTCACTTGAAACTGTCCAATATATCAAATATAGTCAGCAATCCAACTTATAAAAAGTACACGATTGTGTCACAAAGGTCACTGCTGGGCATGTTAACAGAATTGCAATCCTATGCAAGCCAGCTGTGCTGGCTGGGGGGGTGTAGTCTTTTTTTGGGTCTAAATTTGTGCCTTTATGATATTTAACATTTTAATTGCAGGCCATAGTAATTTTTGTCTTTTGTCTATGAGAAAACAACACTACTACCTGCTGCTAAAATATTAAAAGCACTTAAATCCCATACACCTTGAAGTAGTATTATGAAGTCCTTATCGTTTAACATTTACAAGACTGCCAACACAGCCAATAAAACCTAACCAGTAGAGACCCATTTTTAAATAGGTACTTTGCTTACCTGAATTGGACATTCATTATCGTGTGTAATGTCCATGAAGAGTGCATGAGCAATAGCAGGAACTAAGGGCCTCAAACGTGGCTGAACAAAAGACCCAACAGGCTCTCCTCCAAAGCGATAAACTAATCTTCCTTCTTCATGACTGTTGTATGCACTCATTGCCTCTACAGAATAATAATTATAATTATTATACCACTTAATAATATCACATATTATACCACTTAATATCACTTACTTGGTAACACCACTTACTGGAGCGCCAATACCAGAGTGTAAAACCTTAGCCATAGCAGCCAAATGCCCCCTCGAAAACTCTTCTTTTGGAGCTGCAGTGTTCTCCAGGAAGCCAAGTCTTATGTCTGTGGCCTGTTCTCCTTTACCCCGAGGGGAAATTGTTTTGTGCAGCCGCCCTCCCATTTTAAAAGGCTGCAATGCTTAGAAAGAGCTTTAAGCTGAAGAACATTTTGGGGTAGGGCACTGGGCCTTTTGCCCTTTCCCTACCTATCTCTGGAATGTGGCCTTGATTTATATGGAGAATAAATCATGCATCAGACATTTGGTGGGACTGCAGAACTAATGACATCTAGACATTCTTTAATATGCATTCCAGCCACTGAATTTTTTGATAGCTATTGCAGTGGGGACCAATATTCCAAGAACAATTACATAGAGCCCTTACGTGCTATGAAGACTATCTGCCTTGCTTCCCGTAACAGAAAGAGGTTAATACTCAAGCCAGGTGATACTGGATTTACCTACAGACAGGACAACTCTGAGGTTTAGGCATAACTTTTTTATTGTTTTGGCACGGAAACACTGGTGGAATATGACAGGGCTGTGCTCAAACCCAAGGCTTGCTTCTTCTTACACTAGAAGAGCAGCCTCTGAATAGGCCCAGAGTCAGCATGCTATGAATGGACTATGGAGGAAATTACTGGATGTTCTTTGCCAGCTGATAAGGTGGGTGGAAGAGGACCATGGAAGCCACCTTGAATTCCTTTCAAGAGGAAAAAAGGTGGGATACGTAATAAGTTTGTCTGTTTATCATCCGTAAAATGGTAAAACCCTAGTATTATACAAGTGTAGAATACAATACTTTAGACTAACATGCAATTAGTAATAAATTTGTTAACAATTACTAAAATATGTATTGCAAGTTATTCAAAGAAAGACCATATACTTATTTCAGATTGGAATTTCAAGGCGTGGCATGTTGTGGTAATGTAAATTAATTTAATTTTTTTTAGCAACTTGGATAATTGGACAGGGAGTAAATTCTAATGGATTTATAAGAAAGTGAGTATTGTTTGTAGTGTTTTGGAATAGTAAATTGTTGTTGTTAGTCGTCAAGTCATGTCCGACTGATCGCGACCCCATGGACAACATTCCTCCAAGGATATAATACAATCAAGTGTGTTTGCCTCTTTTAGTTGATTCATGAAAGCAGGGAATGGAATATTATACTTAAACAGTGGAGATGAACAATTAAATTACACTCCAGCAGCAGATCATGCAAACTATATAACTAACCTTGTGTTTTATATAGTCTTTTATTCATATATAATGTATATCTGATAATAGTAATAGCAATAATGATGATAATAATACATAGAATATTAAAAATGTAAGATTATAAACCAGCTCTTCATATATTTTAATGCATAGCCTGTCCCTTAACCATGCTTAAGGGGCAGGTAATGTGCCACAGACTCGCTTCTCCTTGCAAGTAGGAGATGGAGGATTAAAGGTGATATTGACACCAATCTTAAACTTGCTTAACACTCTCCAGGTTGTATCTTAACCAGGTGCTCCCATTTTCAAGCCCTGGTTAGCAACATGGAATGTGGTTAGTGCCAGCCATGCTTAAGATCAGTGCTAATGCAGCCACTGAGCAGGGAAAGAGCCGGCCAGAAGAAGAAAGGACATGGATTTCAGCTCATCTCTCTATCATGATTAAGAGATAGGTTATGTTATATCTGTAGCAATCAAGTAAGAGGGATCCACTGGTCATATAACAATACAGTACAAAATTATATCTTACATGCGCGCGCGCGCGCGCGCGCACACACACACACACACACACACACACAATCATACTGCGAGTTACTTGGAAATGGTCATTGCTACAATTGTCTTACATAAGATTCTTCTCCTAATACTTATCACAAAACTACTATTAATGTGAAAGATGCCATACTGTTAAATGCATTGTCTTGTATTTATCAAAAAGGGATGTGAATAACATTTTACGCATTGGTGTCCTTCCCAGTCAGCATATCATGCATAATCTCAAGGATAAGATAGCAGTTGAAAGCAAGCCTACCTCTGATTAAAGAGCTAATGCCCAGTTTATTCACAAAGATATTGTCCAGCTCCTCACTTCCAGTGAACAGTTCAGCCACTATATACAAGCTGGGCCGCAATTTCCTAGCTGCATCCATCATGTACTGCAAAAAGCACAGCCAAGGAAGCCACAGACAGGAAAAAGGCAGAACCGAAGAAAAGAAAGGATGCAAGGCTAGGCATGGATTTGGGCAACAGGGAAAATGCCATGCAGCAAAACAAAAAGAGGAACCCAAAGGAGTAAGAACCAAAAAAATTCATTTGTGAAGAGACATGAAAGTTAGGACAAGCCAATGAATTGAGAATTAGATGCAAAAAAGATAATAACCCACAGAATAAAGAAAGAAAAAGGGAAGAGGGAAAGGCATTTAAGTGGGCAAAGGACATAAGAATAAATATAAATAAAAGACAAAGTTAGTTCCACATAAAGAGCTTTTGACTAACATAACACAGCAATCCTGCAACAAACCTTTCAGGCATGGGTGGGGGTTTTTTGGGTACCTCTAATGAGACTGGTAATTCCAAGGTGGTTGACAAAGACATTGTCAATGACCTCACTGCCCGTGAAGAGTTCAGCTATCACATAAAGATTAGGTCTGACTGACCTGGCTGCTGCCAACATCTCCTACAGATCATAACACATTTTTAAGAACAGTTTTCTCATGACAAGTGCCCTTCCTATATTGTATGATCCTGGTGCTACCCAGATAGGGCAGTGGTCTCACAATAATCTTGAGAGAGAAAAGGTGGGATTTAGCCAATGTTTGACTCTTCCATTGAACTCAATGGGGCTTAAATGTGCTCAGCTTAGCTGGATCCTTGTAACAAATGTGTGTAGACCTCCCTAAAATGCATAGTATTTATTGTAAGTTATGCAAAGATTAAATCAAAGTTGAAAATCCTTACTGTGGACATCAATTCATAAAGTTCTATTGACCGCAAAGAAGTAATGCTCTTTTGGAGGCTTTAAAGATATGTGAAATAAATTTCATGTTTTTGTTACTCTAGGGGGAAGGGTATGCCAAAGTATATGAGATTATGCTTTCATCTGAAGGGATAGTCATTCAATTTAACTGGAAAAAAAAAAGAAATTACAGGTTTATCTACAAGGTAAGTTACCCAATGGAAACACAACAGACAATATTTTAACACTGAACTAATTTCAAAACTGGAAACTAATTCCAACATTCTCAACTGTGAGAAAAATTACTCTTTTTTTAAAATTCTGGAAAAAACATTTTATACAAATTATTATACAGTCTCTACAGCTACTATCTTGCCTGGGCAAGGGGAAATTGACCTGTTAATCTAAAAATCTGTAATTTGGAAAATGTTTAACTGAGGGAACGCCAAAAATTGAAATATCAATGCTAAGCTTGTATCTAACAATATTTTGTTACAGTGGTTAAAGCTTTGGTAGAGGAAGTATCTGCAAGGTGTACTCAAATAATTTCAAGGAACATTAATAAACAACTACTAAATTTAAATCAACTACTACATTTGTTCAGATTGATCAAAAAGTCAAGGGATAAACCTTTGACAGCTTCTCTAACTTAGATTATTTCATAATATTCTATGTTAAAATGGATTCAGAGTTGCAAAAGTTTATAGACTGAGGACTGTTCTGGAGGGCCACTCCACACCATCCTACAACTGTTTACACATGTTTCACAATTTGCTCAAATGCTAGTTTACCATTTTTTCTATATCATTTCTAATTATGTTTAACCACTACTTATAAGACCTATAATTTGCATTCCAATTGCAACCACTGCTTTAATTCATTAATTTCATTTATGCTGCCTTTCCTCCAAGGAGATCAACATGTTGTACATGCCTCCTTTGCTGTGTGCTTATCCTCACATCAACCTTTTGATGATGGACGGAGAGCGTAAGCGTCTCCCAAGGTCATCCAGTGAACTCCACAGCTTTGGGGAGATTTGAAACTGGGTTTCTCCACTCCTAGTTCAATGCACTGAAGACTTAACGATTCTAGCTCTCTAATGAAACAGTGCTAAACCGTGGCACTGTTCTCTAAAGCAGGGGTTCTCAAACTTTTTAACCAGGGGACCAGTTGAAAGGGGCCAGTGCCGGACGCGGGCCGGAAAGGTGGTGCCGGCAGTGCGTGTGGGCCGGCACGGGGGTGGTGTGTGTGGGCACATGCGCTGAGGTGGGGCACAAGGCATGGCGAGGTGGGGGTAGGCACGTGCCGCAAGGTGGGCGCAAGAGGCAGCGGCTTGCTTGCTTGCTTGCTTGCTTGCTTGCTTGCTTGCTTGCTTGCTTGCTTGGAGATCGTTTTCTCCGAGTGAGCAAACTGCTGCCTCCCTACGTGCAGGGCAAAGTGGGCAGCAGCGGGCGCGCATGGTGGGTCCAAATGGGCATGGTGGACCGGATCCGGCCTCCGGGCCGTAGTTTGAGGTCCCATGTTTTAAAGCAAACAATGGAAGGAGGGGAATCTATACACAAGAGGGGAGGAGAGACACCATTTATGTCCATGTCCTGCTCCCAGTCTCTAAACAGTGAGGGATGGTGCTGACAGTGTTCCCAAAGTTTCATTAAATCCAGCTACTCACTCTTAGCATACTTTTCAGTGTTTTCAATTGTACAGTGTTGGGAATAATTTTGAATCACTGAAACAGAGCGAGTCAGAAGGGGGCTTCCGGGCCATCTAGTCTGACCCCCAGCTCCAGCCGGCTTCACTAACAACATGCCCACCATATGCATGTCTAGCCTATCTTTGAACATCCTCACCGATGGGGCCTCAACCACCTCTCGTGGAAGCTCATTCCATACCCTCGGGGTCCTCACTGTCAGGAAGTACTTTATAATAAGACATCTTGGCTCCAATTTTCTTATTCAGAATCCGTGTGGAACAGGAAATTTTTCCATCACCTACAGCGTTTTCCATATTCTGCCAACGTACCCTACCCTTATTTCACACAAAAATATGAACTGTTTTAGAGTGACACCAGCTTCACTGATATGTTGCTTTACTACTAAGAGGTATAGCTGGATTTATGAACCAGGACATTCTAGTGAATTCACAAGATAAATTCAGGGAATCCTGATGCACCCTCCAGATGTTTTCAGCTAAACATCCAGAATTCTTGCCAGCCAGAATTCCAACAACTGGATGGAGCTTCTGGCAATCAAAGTCAAAAATATATGGAAGGCATCAGGTTGCTGATGGCTGCCTTACAACTTTCAAATATATTTTTTTAATTTAAGACATGCCTATGCACTTCCTTTGTATTCTATACTTCCTGTTAGGAGAATGTGTGGAGTGGTACCATATTTTTCCTCCTCATTACAACACTATTGTGTACATTATATGCAGAATGCAGTCTCGGCTGAGCAGGGATAAACCCAGGCTTGGGTCCAAGTCCCATACTCTAACCACTACACCTCAAAAATCATTGCAAAAAATCAGCAGTTGCAATCCTATGCACACTTACTTGGGAGAAAGCTCCATTCAACTCAATGCAGATTACTTCTGAGCAGATATACATAGGATTGTACTGTCAGGCTGCAGTATTTCTCATATTTAGGAGTAAGCCCCATGACTACACTTGGATTTACATTTGAGTAAGATGCACAGGACTGTGCCATACCTGTGCATAGGCAAGAAAACAACAGCTTGCCCACTCCTAACCACCCATAAACATCTAAAACCTAGGAAGGTGCTAGAAGATCACAATTAATTTGTGATGAAAATCAGCTGATGCTGACAGAGATTTCAAAACTGGTTCCACAGTTATTTCCATAAGCTATGGAGAGACTTTATTTTTCTATACCTCAGCTACATTAAGAGGCGTAGAGTGACAGTTGTCAAGGCGTACTCCATGGAAATATTTAGCAGTAATTTCAGTGTATTTTTTCATGTGAGCCCAGAGGTAAGGACAGTCTTCGGGTTTATTCCCATAACGTAGCTTCACACTGTCACCCCAGCAAATAAGCTCTCTTCTCAGGTAGACATTTGAGCCTGCAACAAAGAAAGATATTATGTATTTAGGTACAATATTGTAGTTGTGGCTTTTGACATTTTTACCGATGTTAGAATACAAATTGCTTCAACTTACATACAAATTACCAAAGGCATTCAATGAAAGTACAGGTACAGAAATTCTTAGGGTTTAAAAATTAATAACCTTGCATCAGTCTGAGACAATGCCATTGTAAGTGGCATTATAAACCTTAAAATATTTAATAGATAAAACAAAGAGCTTAGGTTAAAGGAGCATAATGAACCACAGAAGGATTTCTCCTGTCTTAATTCATCTTTGTATAAAAGTACGATTTAAATTTATCTGTCAAAAGCAAAGCGATAAGTTAGTATGGGCTGATCAAACAGTACAGATCTAATTGTCCTTCCATTAGCAGGAGGCAACAGAAGCAAGAATCAACCACTTGATAGGCATTCCGCACCACTCTCTATCCACACAGAGCGGCAACATTTGAATAGAAGCCACACAGATTAAATCCAATGGAGACAGACACAAATCACAGTCTATTCTCAATTTTTCTCTTGGAAATTGTCCTTGTGAAACAGGTCTATGAGAAAGGATTTAACCACATTAGCCCTTACTTGAACATTACGGCCTCCCAGGGGCAGCCTTTTTTTATCAAAGGAAGGATAAGCAAACCATGTACCTTGACACAGGAAGGTACATTCTTGGTCCCACCATGTGAAAGCATGCCCTAAACAGGTTCAGATTCACTGCCATACCACCTAACATGCAGCTGGAAACACTTAAAGGCAGGAACTGGTCAATCACTAGCACAGGTAGTTTTTATTCCTTCCATAAGGCTGCTTATAGGAAACCTGAATTTTATTAAAAATCTCTTGAGAACTACTCAAGCATTACAGTGGCTTCGTATTGCTTCTTAGTACTTCTCTTCAGCTCTGAATACTTCTGTTCAGTGAGATGGATCCATTTATAAGAGATGGCATTTAGAATTACAAACCTGGCTCAGCAAAATTTCTCAGAGGATCATCTCCCATTACCCAGCCATTATGGGCCATAAAATAACTCGCTTTGTCAGGCTGATGCATCATAGTTTCCTCCTGCTCCAGGGTAAGCTCTTTAAAGGGGTAAGTAAAGTACCTGCAGTGTGCAGAAATTACTTTTTTTGAACATTGGAGAAAATAATTTGTATAGGACAACTGAAGTATACCTCTAAAAAAATACATATTTTAAGTGTTCATATCTACAAAACTGCAAGAACATATGAGTAATTGCTTTTTTCCTCCTCCAGCCAATCTAGTAGTGAACACTCTGCTGTTGTGCTATTTTCTGTTGGACCCAAAAATGGACCTATCTTTATGAGTAACAACAAGTTAACTGAAGAGTAGACATAGCTACCTAATATATCATTCTAGCTATTTTCAAATGCAGAAAAAGATTTTTTCACACAATAACCTAACCAATTCCACTTAAATATCACACAGGACAATGCTCGGAGGTCTTTCAATGAATAAGAGGGAGGGAAGGTTAAACAAACATTTTAACAGACAATATGCTTCGAGACGAAATGGAGGTCCTTCATGCTTTAATGGGTTGTTGGTCAGATTATTGTCAAATGCCCCATAAGCAGCCAAAATCACTCCCCCACACACATACACCCACATAAGTAAATTCCTATTCTGTATATATGGATATGAGTATAATATATATATTATCACAGACATACTATCATCAATTTCAGACTTTGTTTAATTACTATAAAAGGAGAGAACATGAGGGCAAGAGACTTGCACATTTCTTCATTTATTGAACTACAATATGATCATTTATACCAATCACTGTAAAAGTTACATACACATACTTTATATAAAATCAGTATTTCTCCATATCCTATGCTTTCTGACATTAAGGTATATTCTTTCTTATTAAGGGATGCCCACAGTTTTTGTGCATCATTCAGGAAAACATGCATTTCAAAATAAAATGTATTTAAGATAACAAATATGAAATACCTTGTAACTAATGGAAACTTCCTAGTTACAGAACCTAGTTGAGGTCCATGGCCAGCCAGTCGTTCATAATTCACTGTTGCCAAAACACAGTTGATTGCCTAGAAACCATTAAAACAGTTGTTTCAATAAAAACTCGGGATACTATGAGAAAAGAACCAAGACCACAAGAAAGAATTTCAAATATGTCATCATGGTTACAACCTGCTCTTGGTGGTAATTTGTTTGTCGGAACTTTTCGTTATTGAGTTCTTCAACTCTCTTGCGGAACCAATCACAACACTCTTCAATTGCAGCAGGCCCATTGCTATAACAATGTACACAGAATATAACATCTTTAGAAAGGGTATGGAATGCCAATGTCACGAGCTTGTATTTAATACATTCATAACCCTAAGGCTATTTATGTCACCTGACTCTGACAACAATGTTGTGTAAACCCCTGAATCCTAAGTAGTCAGGTCTATTTGTATGTTTTCCTAATTTTAGCTACATTTGATATCAAATATATTCCTGTAGCAAAACTGAGGCATTAACTTTTTCTAAAAGCAGTATTATTTTACCAATAGTGGCAAAAGATGTCTCAAAGAGTTGGCTGGGTACTTTAATTTGCCTAAACATAGATGTCACATCATATAAAACTTCACTGAGTTCAAAGGTTGCATGGGAAGAATTAATAGAGGAGTTGAACTTTTGTGATGCACAGTTTCCCAAGCAAACATCTGATGCTGAAATACTCAAACTGTGGAAAAGCTGCACACCATGAAATTTGGTGTTTTGAGGCTTGTGGAAAAAATATTCTGCATATCTTTTAGTCACTTTTGCATTAATGCACTTTTGCATTAAAGTTGCCTTGAAGACCTGTAGCACTTGTGAATTTTGAGAAGTTCTTCAGCCCTTTCAGGTAAGAGTTGGAAGTACAGGAGGTAGGTTAACAGCAAATTTGTGTATAATTTCTGTGTATGTGCTATAGTCATCTGGACTGGAGTAATGGCAATAAAGGCTGCTGTAGCACAGTCTGGTGGTACCTTTATGCCAGTGAACGGAATACAGGCAATGTTTTGATCTCTGAGTGCCAGCTATAATTTTGCTCTTGGAAAAAGAAGCCAACACTATGCAACTACAAACCTATGTGGTATGAAGGTATTCAGTGCAATATTCATATCTACAGTACAGCCAAGTCTCTTAAATTCTGGATCCTGAATGATGGCAAGATGTTGCTTGGGATCAGTTTTAACTTTTGAGCCACCTGTATTCAAAACAGGAAATATTGCAGTGAGCTTAAAGGCATTTATTGTTCTTATTTCTGCTCAAACCTAAAAGGCAGACAAACACAGATGCAACCAAACAGTCTGCTGCAGCATATGGAGTAACTCTTTGCACGCTGCAAGGAACCACAGTGACCAAATAAATGAGCTGGCTTTTAAAGTTTTCCTATCACATGTGCTAGATGAACATTCTGATACATGTTACCAATTTTACTTGCAGTCTTATTGCATACTTTTTCAGTACATCTTCCTGGGTACCTTCCTTGGGCTGAAAAAATAAGCCCATACCTGATCTCATGTTTTGATATATTATGGTACTGGGGTCACAAATTATTGTAGTTTGGTCAATCAGCAACAGCCCCTACTTGTCTAGTAAACTTATACAGATAAATCATTCCCCATGGAAATCCATGGATGGTAATACATGCCTTTAAGCATGATTCAATTGTGCTAACCCTACCAAGAGGACATCAACAATAAGCAAGAAGGAGATGCCACAGGATTTCTGTAGCACATGCTTTACATTATGCAGAACCACCCTTGGATCCAGTAAGGCAAATGAAGGTAGGAAGGAGTCATATAAACTGCGAAGGAGAAATGCCTTTCCATTGTTTAAAATCAATTTTATATTTAAAGTTGGGGGAGTGGAAATGTTTGCAGGTGAATACATTTTCTCATAAAGGAAATCAACTATTCTAGATGGAGCTTTACAACCGGTCTTAGATGAGATTGCCCTCCATGTAAAAGATCGAGTGCATAGTCTGAAAGTCCTCCTGGACTTTTCACTAACTTGCGAAGTTCAAGTGGCTGTGGTACTCAGAAGTGTGTTTTACCAGCGGAAGCTGGGATACCTCATCCCATATGTCCCTCCCTGGACCCTAAGGTCACCTTTAGGGAACTTTCTCTGGGAGCCCCCTCCAAAGGAAGCAAGGAGGGCAGCTACCAGGAGAAGGACCTCTTTGGTTGTGGCAACCTGGTTATGGAATGAGTTCCCCGAATTCTGTATTCTTTTCAGTGCCAGGTGAAAACCTTTTTTCCTTTTCCAGTATTTTAACAGTTAACTTTTAAACTTTAGTTTTAATATTGCATTTTATCTGCTGCTCTACAACTGTGCTTATTTGGTTGGTTCAATTGCTGTGATGTTGTCATTTTTTCTCTTTCTTGTTTGGGTGTTTTTAACTTTGGTTAAACATCTAGAGAATTGCAGCTACTGGGTGGTGTAAAAATGAAACAAACCAACCGCAACTCTAGTCCGGAGAGGACCTATTTTTCCATGCACTAGTGACATACAGGTTGGACATGCAGGTGTAGCGTATATGGGACTGGCTTTGAAGATGGGGCAGAATGTGACCAAAGAAGAACTGGCAGGAGCACAATGATTCAATCATGTAATGTCTACACGGTGCCAGCTGCACTGGTTACTGGCATATTTCTAAACCCATTTTCAAGTTTTAGCTTTGACCTTTACAACTTTAGCCAGTTTGTGACCAAACCAAAGGACTGCTTTCATGCTCTCACTTCAAGATGAAGAAGAGAGGCCATTCTCATTTGCCCACCTCTGAGAATTGCCAAATGGGTTACTACATGTGAAGGGGGCTTCTCTGCAGGAGGCCCACACCTCTCCAATGGGGCGCATTGCCAGCAGGACTTCATCACTGCAGGCTTTTATGGAAGCCCTGGAGACATATTATTTTGCTCTGGCCTTCTTCTGATAGGACTGCTGTTCTAATTGTTTTTGTTGCTGTTCTTTTGCTAGTTTTATTACTGTTTTTATTACTTTTAATATTTATTGGTTGACGTGTTTATTGTTGTATGTTGTCTTGGGGAGGCTTCTGCCTTGAAAGATAGCTAAATAAGTAAGAGAGACTAAAAGGCAAGATAATGCAGTACCTGAAGTACTACCAGGGCAGAGATTATTGTATTATAGCTATATTTAGTGGCCAGAGTAAAAAACAACAACTGTGAAACTACTTCTCTGAGCCCAAGGAAGCTTTAGAAAGTTTTTTCTCAAAGAGCAGCCCCCCGCCCACACCACTCCAATCCCACCTCACAAGACAAAGTACTTTTGAAGCTGAGTGAGGTTAACATTTCTCTACCCCAAGAAAGTAATCAAACATTCCACTGGAGGATGAGCTTAAGCAGTTCTCTGGATAAGAATGCAACAGCCATGCTAGATCAGACCAGGTGGATCTTGTCACGCCTTGGTCAACCAGGTGACCACAGACAGTCCACAAGCAGGACATGACAGCAACAGCACCTTCCCACCCAGATTCCTGCGACTGCTGTACTGCCTCTGATAATGGACAGTACCCATGCTTTCTTCACTGATTAAACTGTGAGCAGTAAGGTTATTACCTTGAGTTAAAAGGGTTTTAAATTGTTGCACTGCTTTGTTAACATCTACTTGGAAGAATTCCCATAACCTTATCCGGGGGTAAACATCCTCCCAAATGACTTTACGGATACACTGTTAAAAATAAATAAGAAATACATCAGGAAGGCAATATTCTCTGAAACATTTGTTCCACAAGAAAGCAAGCAGAAAGCTATTCAAGAGAGGAAAAACACAATTTTGTTTTTTATGGAAAGGTAGAAACAGTTTTGAACAGCAATAAAGTGCAAAATTAGGTTGGTTATATGTGAACCTATGAGTCATCCACATAGGTCAAGGTTAGGCCACTTGCAAGAACAAGAATTCAGGCAACTTCAAAATGCAACATAATGAGAAAAAGCACAAGAAAACCGTTGGGGCATCTTCCATGTGAAATTATCTTGCCATTTCAGGTGGGTTATTCATTTGGAGGGTTTCTGACAACTTAAGATACATGGCCAGCTACCATTGTTTAGTTTAATGAAATATTGTTTTATTACATTTTATTGATTGCTTTCATTGTATGTTATCAGGATTTTGTTTTGTGAACTGTTTTGGCTTTTTAAATGAAAAGTCATACAATTCTTCTGAAGAAAATATAAAAACAAAAACCTCTAACAGAAAGAACTAGCATCCAAGAACCACCTTAAAAATGACCAATACCAACCTAAAAGGAAATGTTTTCTGGGACTGAACAAAACAAAACAAAACAAATCCAGTCAGTGGACAAGGAAAGATGGGAGGCAAAATAAATCTCTTTAGGATAAGACTTGCATCAAGTGGCAATATTTTCCCTCAGTCAGTAATAACATGCGTTATCAAAGAAGAAATACATTTCTCTTTTCTTACATTTAAATGATGGTCATTTTCAATCAGTGCAGGTATCCCTTTATCACTGCATTTGCCACCAGCGATCTTACAGGTTAAATGCCAAAGGGCTCTGTCCAAAAGCCAGGCTGGTTTCAAGTGAGGAGAATTAACAAGATTGTATGCACATTCTGGATGCTGAGTTATCCATTCGCTATTTGCAGCTTAGAGTGAAAAAAAAAAGGGAATATAGAATTGGCAATGGAAGGACCTGGAATAAATTCCCATGTAACTTAACCTGTCAGGATTCTACAACAATTATTCTAACTGTAATATATCAAGTGATGACTTGTATATTGCAATCAACCAGCATGTACACAGTGCTTCCTTCAGTGTGAAGAATTCAAACATTCACCTGTGTATCATCAAGTGAGATCCATATATGTGTCAATCAGCCTGTTATCTTTGAGAATCTCAAATACAAGAGTGATAAAAAGGAACATTTGACCCTTGCATTGACCTCAGGAGACTTTAAAAATGGTCCATGGAAGAAGAAGGTCTATGTTACTATTCAAGTTGTTCTCCTTAACCTAAAATGTCCCCTGACACTGAAACTCAAGATCTTTCAGAATTTAGATTCTAAACCATGAAGATCTTTCTTTTCACTGAAGGTTTGACCTTGATAAACATGAAACTCTTCCATCAGCAGTAAACACAAAAGACAGCCTGAAGTAACGTAAGGTTGCACTCAACTTGCAACACTTTTCAGATGCCTCTTAACTGTACAAATATTTTCATTTTTGGTCAGTTTAAAAAACATGCAGAAATTGTGCTTAAAAATGAGGAAACAGTGAAGGCTTCCTTCTCTTGAGTGATGCGAGATGCATACTAAGACATGCTGTGAACAGAGCACATCTTGTTAGCTTTGAGACATTTTGAAAATAAGTCATTCTGTCAGATTAAAATCATTTGAATTATTACAGATATTAAAAATTATTTCCTAAATCATCAATATCCTCACACCTATTTCTCCCAGATTAGTTCAGTAAATTTTAAACAATGAAACATCAATACTCCTCACCCCATCAGAAATAGTCTATTATGAAAACTACTGCCAAGGTCATGTAACATTTTAAAGTTACTTTCTTTGTAGACCATGTCACAGCAGATGTTATGTCAGATGTACACATATTACTGATGTAAATATTTGCTAAAATTTGTGTGAAATTGCAGTGCAAGCCCATACATGTCTATTCAGAGTGCAACCCCACAAAGTTCACTGTGACTTATTCTTAAGTAAATGCAGCCCTTGATACTATTTCAACGTGCTGGTAAGAAGATGAAAGCTGCACTGCTGATCAAATTCATTGTAAGACTTATGGCTGTCCTATGGACTACACCCTTGAGGTTTAGAAGCTCCGAAATTCAGGGGATTTGAGATTCTTCTGTCCTGCTGGGCTAAAGCCGGCAGGCCCAGAGAAGCAACAGAGGCAATCTTTACCTCTGAATCTTCTATCTATGGTGTTTTTCACAAAGTGGGCTTTTCAGCCTTCTGAGGGCAGTTTGAAGCAGGAGTGAAGGAGGCTGCAGGAGGATCCAGTCACTCTGTTCTTTTCCTCTTTCCAACCCAAGAGAATGCTCCTCTTCCTCCTCTTCTAAGGTTGCTTTACTGACCTCAGAGAGGACGCCTGGACACTTCTCTTTGAGCCAGATGCAACATGGCAGGGTTTGGGATTGGATTATCATGAGGTTGCAGCAGTGCTTCTGAGCCTGGCAGACTTTTCTGAGCTACACTATGGTTCCTGGGACACTTGCACAGGGGCCACAGGGCTGTTCTCTAAATTAGAATTATTAATGCAAGGAGATAAAGAGGCATTTGAAGGTGGATGAAGAAAATGTAAGATCATGGGCTTGTTTTTATATCTGTGCCCTGAAACTATCAAGTCATTAATGGGTCTGGGAAGAATACCAGTCTTGGAGCTAATGCAACCATCTGGACATCGCAGTAACAGTGGGGTGGACAGTGGAAGCAGCACCCGAGCAGCAGCAGCTGAAAGCAGAGCAACAACATCTAATACTCTCATTGTGTGTTTATTCCAGTTATAGGAGTTCCCATGCTTGTAACAGGTACTGCTAAAAACATTCAAATAGCATGGACATTCTTTCAGTGATTTGGACAAGTCACATGATGAACAATTGTCTAAGTTGAAAATGTTTCAGAATGCAAAAATCACATACAATTCCATTGCCTGTGTGGGACAGCAGTGTACTTATCCCTGAATACTAGAAGCCCAAAGTCAAGGAAGGATGAGTATAGCCAAATTAGTCTCAACTGTACAACTAGGAACAAGACCATGGAAGTGTATCTTTCTTATTAAGTAATAATCTAAAAAGCCCTTTCAATAACTAAACAGCAAATCAGTCCTGGTTCTAATTATATTTATTTTTAAATGTAAGTCATACATGTATTTCAACTTTCCTGAAGACATCTAATTCCAAGCACAGAGTCTGGAAACCTGCAATTTCAGCTGCTTCTTTTGCATGTCAATAGTAAGGAAAAAAAGGCTAACCAAAGCCAAACTTACCAGTGTGATTGTAGACTACATCTGTAATACAAAGCATATTCCATTCATTTTTCATTTTCTCCACTAGCTTTCCCATTTCACTCCAAGAACACTTTTTATCAGGGGTTGAAAAATCAGGATTTACTTCCATCTGATCAGCCAATGAATAACATGATCTAGACCGACCAAGTTTCTGCACTGGTGTTAAGTGAATCATGTTGTAACCTGTAAAGTAATAAAGAAACTTCTTTGCATCCTTTCTCATCTGCCCAGGATTAGAGGACATGCATTATAAATTGAGCAGTCATAATCACTACAAATTCATGTGTCAGAGCTTTGGTTTGAAAACAGTTGATGTAGCAAACTTTAGGCAGGTCTAAGCATGGTTAGTGCCCAGACAGGAGATTGCCAGGGAACCTTATGTATATTGCCTTGCGCTCCCCAGAGGGACCACCCAGAAAGCTTCTGTGAACCACCCAGAAAGCTTCAGCTATAGGTGGTATAGAAAGGATAATGGCGGCGACGACGACGATGACAATGATATAGCTTCTCCAACCTGGTGCCTAGCGGATGTGTTATATCCTTAGGTTAAGACATTCTGGAAACTGTAGTTCAACACAAAAGGAAGGCATCAGGTTGGGATGCATTGCTATATAAATACAGCCGATAAATGAGTGCTGGGTACCACAGAAGGTGCAAATATATAAACTAGCCTTACAAAATAGAGTATCCATAAATCAGGATTTGACTTGGAGTCAGTGCAGTTATTACCAGATTCTTTTGCAACTTTAAGACGATCTTCCCATCCATCAAATGGTCCTAGACACTTAGCCAGATATGTCTGGAGTGTAACACAATCCAAGGGCAATTCATGATTGTCAGCACCAACGCGCAAAATAGGATCCACAACTATGTAACCTCCACCACTTCTCTGATCTCTGGAATAAAAGCACACACATCTTCTATCAACATTAAGACAAATACATGCTAGGGACAATCACCTTTTATCATCAAAACTTACCCAGATTTTTTGGCCTTGCTATTTTAACAATGCAATGCCTTTAAAAGTATCATAAAAATCTACAATATTTCCAAGCACATACACATATTTCTTTAAAAATACTTTTAACTATGCCATTCCTACTTACCCTACTGAACCCAATGAGACCTATTTCTAAGTTGATATGGATTGTGCTGCTAGAGAACCAGCTAGAAAAAATGCAAAGCACAGGTTTATTTCTTTTTCAATTTTTATCCTACCTTTTCCTACAAAGGGCTCTAGGCAGCTTACATCATTCTCCTCTTCCATCTTATCCCCACAACAACCCCCCTGTGAGGTAGGTTGGGCTGAGGTTAATTGTGATCCCCAAATAAGAGAGGTGTAGGAAGACCGCACTATTTTTTATTTTGGCAAAGAATCCAGGATTCCCATTTCCAGACAGCATCTCAGATTGACATCTGAGCTTTCTGACATAACAGGAGTTTTCAGTTTTCTTATTGTTGTCCTACTGCTGCATTAGTGTTCAAAGTGCTTTATACATATACACTTAATCTCATGAACCCTTAAGGCTGCAATCCTATACCCACCTATCTGGAAGTAAGTCTCACTGAACTCAATGGAACTTACTTCTGGGTAGACATGTATGGGAATGCACTGTAAGAAGAAAACATAGACCACTTTTACCCATATGTAGCAGTTAAAAGGAAGCCCATACATTACACAATATTTAACTGGAAAACTTTCCAGCTCACACAGTGCCACTACAATTTAAAAAAAACAGATGTAGAAATAAAATGTATTTTATTTTCAAAACAGGTGTTATAGATTTATCTGAAGATTTGTGAAAGTAGTTTGTGAACGCTACTATGCTTTTCAGGATCTCCTTGCAGAGAAGCTATGCATATTCTGAGTCTCGTATTACATTTTCACATATATCTTCCTGGCTATCTGACTTGCAGCAATGCTCCGCTACCTTCAGAAAGTAACATGAGCAGAGAATCCTGAAGGAAGGACCAAAGCCAAAGAGCACACAACTCTGTAATATATCAAGTAAGCTAGACTAGAACTTGCTTTTCAAAAAGGTGGCACATCTCCAGAATTTCTGTATGCTTCATACCTAGTTGAAGCCAGTGGCGATGCACAATGCAGATTCCTGCACTAGACCAAGTGATAATGCCATAAATATATTGTGGAGTTTCAGAAAGAAACATGTACAGTTAGGATTGCCACTACACACACATTTATTCTCAGCAGCTGCTAGCAGTTTTCAAGAATTTAATCTAATCAGTGTAGCTTTACATTTTTCCTTAATGTTCTGTAAGGTATTATAGAATGTGCTAAGCATTGTGCCATTCTTTGAAGACCAATGATTACACTTTTACCAATCAGTTATTTTATTAGTGAGTTGTCTCATTTTTAATTAATAGACAGATCCTCCAGATTACGATTCCATTGCTTCAGGGAGAAATGGTCATTGTTCTTTATCATGCACCCAATGTCAGAAGAAGGCATCCCACAGAACAAGGCTAAAGTATGCAGGGAACTCGTTTGCTTCATTATCCCCTCCTCTTTTTTGAGATGGAAGAATCATGAAAATTAGACTTAGAAACACAGAGGATCGTGCCTTAAGCAGAATTGGCAACCCAATATTGATTACCAGCTGGGTAAGGCTGTGAATGAGCAACATTCACTTACTCTTGGCAGAAGTAATACTGGTATGACCCAGAAATCTCAAGATCTAGTTTACAGTATTTGTCAGAATCGTCTTCTCTTCCTGTTGGGTTGTGCCAAGAGAGGCATCTGAACTTGTGACGGTCAAATGTTTCTCCAGGAGCCGGGTAGTTAGTATATACTGTAACATGCTTGCCTTGTAAGGTAGGGCCCAGTCGGAACTGAAGCTCAAAACCTGAACAGATCAAGAAGACACTGTTAGAAAACAAACACAGAAACGGAGCAAGTCAGAAGGGGTCTCCTGGGCCATCTAGTCGGACCCCCGGCTCCAACCGGCTTTGCTCATTAACTTCAAGCAAAACATGGTATGAAATCCCAATGATTTCAAAATTAAATCATCCTAAACTGGACCACTGGAGGAAGCAGTTCCAGGTTTTTATACATGATTATATACTGTCATAGCTCTAACTCTTAATCTTACTAGGAGGACCTTACTCTCTGCTTTGTTTTAGGAAGGGAAAAACCCATTTCCATTCCACCTTGCTTTTGCCAGATTTTTAACAGCACCCTCCGATTTGATTTTCAAGATATTTCAAGGTATTCTTATTGGTAATTGGATATGTAGGTCTATTTTTCAATTGTACAACATATTGAGAGGCCTGGTAGACAGAAAAACAATATATAAATGCTTTAAAATGAATACACTAGTAGGAAATTCTTGTCAATGGCACTGCTGTTTTAACTTTGTTTCAGTTGCCATGTTCAATTCTAGCTAGTTAATTGATATATATATATATATATATATATATATATATATATTCGTAGTGTTAGAAATGCAAGGATATTAAGTTGTATAAAAGTAGTATAAATATACATCAAGCATAGATATATGCTTGAACAGAACCCAAGGCATTTTCAGTCCACTTCGAAGCAGAAAGCAACTGAACCAAGATACACAGTACAATGCATCAATTCAACTTGCAAATTAAAAATTTTCACATGAACTCTCTCTTAATATGGTTTGAAGGCATGAGAGCCAAGCAGCTTGCTGAAACTAAGCGGGTCTGGGTCAGTGTTTGGAGGGAAGACCACCTGGGAACTACACGTAACTACCTTATGTTTCACTATGGAAAGAAGGTAGACTATAAATGTAATAAATAAATAAATGCTCTTAGATAAGACAATACAACAGCCTTAGGGCAGTGCTGGCTGAGAAACTGTAGAGCTTGTTCTGTCTAAACATGCAGAAGACTGCACCCTTAGAAATCTTTAGATGTTATTGATCCTGTTATTGTATGCAGTATTTGCATGACCTTTAGATTTCTTTTTCAATGAGACTTTGCTGCATGGAGTGAATGTGTACACCTTTTCCACCAATGTGGAATGCTTTTGCAATTTTAATAATATCCTCAAATTATTTTTCTTGTATTGAAGAAAAAATACAGTTCAGAATAACCAGCAACAATTTTCCTCATTAATCACAGCAAATTTTCCCTGAGGTCTACAACTAGTCACATGCCAAATTCTAAGATCAAATTATCTAAACAAATTAATTGTTTCTTTGAATGCAGAATTTTATTTCAAAAACAACAGTGGTTTCAAAAGTTTCTTGAAGTTCAGCAAATAAGATTCTTACAGCTCAAGCATTATAATTGTATATGCTTGCATCCCAGATCATATGTGCTACAAGTCACATGAGCTTGTAAAGAAAGCTGGAAACAAATACCACAAGTGTATTTTGGTGGTATAGTCACCAAAAACATTTTCGCTTTTTCCTTTTCTGGGCTGCAGAAATTTATATTAAGTAGAGAATTTTATTGTAAGCTTAACTATAAAACATTTTTGTTAAAATTGCTTCATCAACCTGTTGCATTCGATAATCCTCAACCTTCCTGTGCACTTGGGGAACATTTGAGCAACTATACGGTTGAGGCTCAATTTCATGGATCTCCCGAAGCACACTGCCAATTCTGTGATCAACCAGCCTTCCCCACCACCTGTCCTGTGGGGGAGTGAGAGGGTATTCCAGTTTTGCACATGCTTTCTCTCTCTCATACATCCAGAGCTACCTTTCCTTTCACCCCACTGCTCTGATCTGAGCACTGCTTACTGGAAATCCCACTGATTCCAACAGAACTTCCTTTCGTGTTACAACAAAGACTGCAGTCCAGACTGTTATTCTCCTTAATCTTACTGCAGGATGCAACTCACTGAGTTCCTTCATGTATTATTTGAGGACTGCAACCTTACAATGCCAATCTTTCTTAAGAGATTATGTTTAGGGTCAGAGCATTCTTCCCTTGTAGAAAATGGCACATCAGTCTTAATACTTGGAAACAAGTTCCATTCATTTTCAAGAATCACAGTGTAACTATTTGCAGTATAGCTGTGTGAGAACGATATTTAATGACTTATCTATTAAAGAAGTCTAAGCGACCAAGAAAATAAAAGCACAATAAAGGGAAGCTTCTGCAAGCAGAGATTTTATACCGGTAAACTTACATTGCAATCTGTCAGTCAAATGATTTCTGTGAGCCTAAATCACAGATGGTAGGAGGACATTCTTTACATGTTTACTCTGAAGAAAGTGCTCACTGAGTTCATAAAGACTGATTTCCAATACTATAATCAAACTAAGTGCTCAGTGGCAAGCTTGACCCCTGCTCCCACCACTTTGCAGAAGAGAGGCAGTGAATAGAATGCAGTTCACAGGGGAGCAAATATGGAAACAGAGCAACCAGAGAGAAGAATCACAGAATAGGGCTTATGGGGGACTGCTTAGCACCCCCCCATGTCCTCTGTTGCTTTAAAACAGAGATGTGGGGACCTTTCCCTCTGACCTGTATGGCAGCACTCACTCTGTTCCTAAAGTAAAAATCATTACAAGGCTGGTGCCTAATATGCATTATTCAGACGATGGAACTGTGTTCATCTGAAAGCTTTAGTGCCTTCCAAAATATCAACAGCAATATTGATTTCTCTTCTTCATGTATTATGCATATCAGCCAACAAAACTCTCTTCTCTCAAACGCCTCTGTCCATTTCCCCACAATGCCCTTTTTGTCTAAATGCGTCCCCCTTGCTTAACTCCTTAAAGCCAGATATAAACCTCTTTTCGCAGAAGCAAGCTCATCCCCTTTCAAATCCAAACCATAGATTGTCGGTTCCTTAGGGCTGGAGCTTCTGCATTTAAAAAGTTTGCTTCGGAAAACACTATGTACAAGTCTCAGCATATGCAAGGGCTTCCAGATGGAGAGCTCCTAGTGCTACCAGTCCAAAGTCAGGAGTAGTTATTTCATCTTTTTCTTCTTAATGGATAATCCATGGTAAAGAAAAAGACTAAGAAAGCAGCAGTTGGAAAAAGGAGGATGGCTGTAAGTGGAAGAAAACATAATCTCAGCCTCCTCCACTCCAATACAATCCTGTGAATGAGACAGGCAGAGAGCTCACGCAAACCCTCATCTGGAAGCACCCGAAGAGACCAGGAACAAGGTGAGATGAAAGAGCTGTTGACAGCCATTTGAATTTCCTCTTGCATAAGGTCAGTCTAGGATCAAAGTTGACTTGTTAACGAAAAACGAGCACGAACAGGCAGATGTTGTCGATACTGACCTTGCTCAAGCCGGAATAGGGTCTTGTCCAGCTTCTCCATGTCGTTGAGGAGGAGAACTCGGGTCTGCTTACCATGGGGCATCTTGGCTGCCTGGGCTTTTCTCCACTTGCAGGCGGCAGAGATTAACTTCAGAAGACCAGGAGAGGCTCCTAAGAGGCGGAAGAGAGACACACAAGTCAACCGTGAAATATATCGAGAGAACGCTGAAGCGTATGGGTTTTTTTCACCAGGCAGAGAGGAGATGGGTTCACAGATAGGTCACCTTGAAACGCCTCCCGAGACTCACACAGACAGACAAGACACTTACATTTTCCCTCTGCTCAGTCCAAATAAAACAACTTGGCAGAGAAGTGGAGCGGGGGGGGGAGTGCCCAGGATTTTTGCCAAGGGGGCGCACAACCTCTCGCCTCGAGGTAGAAAGTCTGCGGAGCTGCAAAGCAGGCGAGCGGCGGCTCGGCTCTCCGTGGGTCTGCAGCCCGGGCCGAGGGAAGGAGGCAGTCCGAGAAGGGAGGGCTCTGTCCCTTTTGGGCCAGGGGCTGGCGTCTGTCACTCTCGCCCCCATTACAACGCGACCTGTCCCGGCGCCACTGAATATCCGCCACCCCCGTTGTTCCTCCTCCTCCTCTTCTCTCGCCCCCATTTTCGCTGGCTGCTGCGGACTATAAATACAGAGCCGAGGGCAGGCCGCGCTTCACTCACCGGGGACGCCGCAGCGGGGCAAGGGCGGCTCACGAGCTGAAAAGGAAGCAGGCAGTGAAGGCAGGCCGAGGCGGGAGCGCGCAAGAGCAACGCCCGCGATGTAGCTCCAAGCGGGAGGCGGCTCCGTCTCCCTGGGGAGGCGGAACTGGGGAGGCGAGCGCGCAGCCCCGCCTGCCTGTTGCCTGAAGGGCTCGTAAGGGGAGGCTGCTTGCAATGCAGAAAGTGGCCCTGGCGGCGGCTTCCTTTACAGCCTCCTCCTCCTGCTGGTTCGCGAGGAGACACGTTCCGTTTTTGCGGTCGCGGGCGGGCGGGCAGAGCAGGGGAGAGAAGAAAAGAGGAAGGCGCATCTGAACCAAAGGGAGGGCGCCGAGACGGACGGGGAAGGAAATTGCACATTTGAAACTCGGAGATGTCGCTGCAGAGGGTGCTGCAAAGAGCCTGCTGAAACAGGCATTACCGCTAGCGACCGTGTCTTACTCTAGAGCAGGTGCAGGGCCCCATCTCACTGTTAAAACCGCTGCTCTCCCCTTGCACCTGCTCTAGAGTAAAAATGGAGAAGACATGGAGTTAAAGTCTCTCTCTCTCTCTCTCTCTCTCTCTCTCTCTCTCTCTCTCTCTGTGAGGTCTCTGTTACACGTGTACTTCAGAACTAGACCAGTAGATTCAGGCAGTTTCCCCGAAGCGCTTGCAGAATCTCAACAACTCAGCATCCTTCCTCTCCAGACCCATTAGTTGTCCTAGGCGTCCAGCACGGCCTGCGCTTTGAGAAGAAGCAATACAACATCCTATGGTGTCAGTGTTGCGAACAAGTGTTTTTAAGGCTTCTCCTTATATAATTAAGGAGAAGATTATATTTCCTTAAGATTATATTTCTGTCGCTACTTTGAAAGAAAGGTCTGTAACTTAAGGTACAATGTGTGTTCTTGAAAAGGCAGGTTTTGTCATTTTTAAAACTACAGTAAAGAAATAACAAAATGCTGGATAGCTACATCTTCAGTTCTGGCTTAAAGCTTTCTCTGCCTACTGTCAGAAGGTTAGGCCAGAACAGTTGGCTAAATGATATATATAAAAAAGATAGTGTTTCTTCCTGAACATGGTGGGCATGTCCTGAGTGGAGCTGGCTGGAGCCGGGGGTCAGACTAGATGACCCGGGAGGTCCCTTCTGACTCACTCTGTTTCTATGTTTCCTGATATTTGGAAGGCCTCCATTTCTTTGCTATGGTTAATTCAGTGATGCAGAGCCACAGAAAGGAGGCCAAAACTGATGATCCAAATAATTACCAATTGGCCCCTCTTAACAATAGGTGATATTGCCTCCCATCTAAGATAAGTAACCTGTTATTAAGACTGTTTTATTTCCTACTATTTATATATTTTTTTTGCTTTTTCACTAGACTGTGTGTAGCTGTATATTGCTTATTTTTACCATTGTTTGAAGACCATGAGGAAATGCATATTCAGGAGTCTTTGGGAGTTTAGGGATATTTAACTATGGCATCTTCCAAATCCAAGAAAGGGGTCTGACTTTTACCAACCCCTTCTTCTCTTAGATCTCTAAGACAGGAACAGAGTGGGAGAAGGAGATCAAATTGTATAACTTACTCTTACGTCAGTTTGCCACCTCCCCAAATGCACAACTTTGTGCATTTGTTAAATATGTGCAGTATGTTCAATATGACTTGAATAATTTTTATTCTCAGCAGGCAGAATTTGCACTAGCTTGTTTAAGACAGAGATTTTGGGAGAATGGTGACCAGCCCAGTAAAATATTGGCAAATTGCCTTTGGCAAGAAAATAATCTTGGTGATTAAAGACAATCATTGCAAGGTACATACTTGTCCTAAATATATAAAGAACTTGGTGCAGATAGATTTCTATCTTAGTGGTATAAAACATTCTTAGCTTTATAGTCCCCAAACTTTATCATTTGTCTGACTTTGTTTTTGAATCAGTTTCTCTTCATCAACACTCAGTGATGCTTGTAGTACAGTAATTCCTAAAACCCATCCCCTTGGATGTAGAGAAGGCCTTCAATAGAGCTTACTGGAAATTTATCTTGGACTCATTGAGGAATTTCAGTTTTTCTATGCTGATGACATGTCTTTCTATATTTTGAAACTCCAGTCATCTGTTCCAGCTTTGATGCAGATGTTTAATGAGTTTGGATATTTATCTGGTTATTCTATTAATTGTTCAATGTCAGAAGTTGTGCAATTTATGGGCAATTTAGATGTTGTGCTCAGTGTATTACCTATCTGGGAATACTTGTTCAAGAGACATATCAGAAATGATTAGGGTAAACTGATTAGCGAAATTTCAAGGGACATGGACAAATGGGTGTCTATAAAATAATCCTTTGGGGTACACTTGAAATAAGTGTAATGTCTCAAATTGTTTATGTTTAATGTGGTATTCCTTTGTGCCTGGCAGGTTTTTCAGAAATGTAGTGTTTTGTTCCATAAATTTTATGGGGTTTTACTCCAGGAGGACTATCCTTTAATAGAATGCAACTCTTAATAAAAGAAGGTGGATTTGGCCTCCCTGACCTACCCATTGGACCTATTTGTTGACTTGCACTGAATTTTGGTCTTTTTTACTACTCCCTGCTCAGTTCTGCAATCTTCATTTGGATCCTCTTCCCAAGTGAATTGCATTGTATACCTTGTATTGCACTGGGTTCTTGTCATACCAAAATAGGTAATGTGCCCCCAGCTTGTGGCAGCTAGATAGCTGTGGAATGGATTTTCACATCAGTTGCAGGTTGACCTTTTTCACACGCAAATTTAACTTTATGGAAGACAGCTGGTAAGACAATATTAATTTGGTGGACTTGGATGGATAGGCTGGTTTTTACTTTGAATTAGTCTGTTGGACAGGACAATTTTTTGGCCGTTTTTTCTTTTGCATGCTAAATATAAATTGCCATGACTATGTGGCAATATGTACAATAGAAACATTTGTTATAATCCAGGTTTGCTTTTTCTGCTTTTGGAGACACAGAATTGCCCGTATTGATTGAGGCTGAACAGGTACATTGGCTTACATGTAATGTGTCTGAAGATTGATTATCTGTGAATAAATATGAAACATGGTTTGTCACCAAGAATGGAATAATGAACTGCTGCACCCCATATTGCCTAATCAAAAGTATGCTTCATTATCTATTTCACAAGGGTCATGAGCCTTAGACTAAATTTAATTCAGCAAAAATGGTTTTTTGGAGTATTTTGAATGCCATAATGTCACTTTAATAAGAATTAAATTAAGTCAGCCAGTTGTAGGTTCAGTGCTGCTGATGCGTCTCTTCTCCCTCTGTTTTGGCAATGCCCAATGGCAGCTTCCTTTTTGGAAGAGGTAGCAATTTAGATAAATCTTGTAATGGACAGTTCTTTAATATTTCAGGATATCCGTGTTTTCAATTGCCTACCCATAAATGCATTTTCCACACCCTTTTGACAACTAAAGCCAGTGAGCTAGGAAGCATCTGGATCAGGTCAAATCATCCCTATTCGATATAGAGGAGGAATTTTCAGAATGCCCCATTTAAGAATAATTAATAACTGTGTAGTTGTACACTACCCAGAATTGTTGTATAATTGTTGTCCAGAGAGCTTCAGCTGTTTATTAGTACAGAAATAAAATAAATTGTGTGGGTCAAGTGATCCAAGCACATTGTGTGCATTATCTCAGGAAGTTTTACAACAGTCCTGTAAGCCAGGGCCTTTATAGTTGTTCCAAGGTTTTGCTGAATATTCATACTGGTAGAAACTGGTTTGTGCACTTGCCTTAGAGAGCTTTGGGGAGGATTTTGGTGACTGGAAGAACAGGTAGGGAGGGGGCTTGACTTAATGCCCCATGCTGGCAAGAGTATGCCTTGTATGCATGGCAAGGACACAGCAAGGTCCTCAGCTCAGAGAATCTGCTTCTTCCATGGAATGAATGGGGGTGCTCATGGCTGCGTGTACAGCTGGGTGCCAATTACTACTGGCATGTACAGAGTATCTGCAGCCTGTCCGTCGTAGCATTATAGACCTTGTAGATGAGCATTAGACCTTGCGGAGTAGGAGGGTCTGTTTGCAGCATTCAACAAATGTGATCATTGACAGACAGACAAATGGCTGGATTGTACTGCAGCGTGCTCCCAACTTGCCTGAACAATGAAGTGCTCCAGGGACAATGGCACCGGGTTTATTTTCCTTCAAATAAGATCCTGCTGGAAACATATATACTGGAAAAAATACTATCTTTGTAGTACTTGTTTTCTTAAAGTACACAAGCAGAGCACAAGTGGAGGCAAAAAGCCACTCCTGTGCACAACTGATTTGTTGGATCTGCAGAGAGCCAAAGCCTGCTCCCCAAGGCATTGCAGCCGGCTTATAGCTCTGTCTTCAGATTACAAGCTAATGGTTCTAACAGGCGATCTGATAGCAGGCATCCCAGCCTTGGAGGAAAATTGCTCATCCAGAACATAATTTACAGCCATTAAAAGAGCAATTACCATTTTTTCTGTCTCTAGTACTCAGAGGGGGATGCTGGTGCTTACGTGAGCAAAATGGTACCAGTCACACAATTGAGTGATGACCCTCCACCCAGTGAGGGCTGTGTGGGTGCGCTAGCTGTGGAATGCTGACCGGCTTTTGTAGGAAGGAAACGGAAAACTGTGAGAGTGGGAATGGAATGGAGCATTATGGAGGAGGGCATGGCTGTTGGTCTGGTATTTTGTTGGAGGCCCCACTTGTTAATTGTATTGTCGAATCCTTGGCTCCCGTTTGGCAACAATTTATAAAGCCACAGTGCTATTCCCATCAGAGTGATCAGGTGGCAAATTTACAGCAACATGTCAAGCACTCTGTGCCTAAGATAACTGAAATTAATTTAGGTGCTCCTTACTTGGCACAGGGTTGCAGCCTCAA